TTCGTACCATGGTTCTCCTCATCTTGATCTTCCTCATGTTCAGCTCAACGTTCAGTTCTATGGTTATTGCCGGTATTGAACAAGCAGAAACAGGTGGAAATATTGCCCAGCTTTGCTTCTCTCTCACCCTCGTTTTCTGTGGTGTTCTCGTCAGTCCCACCGCCATGCCCGGATTCTGGATCTTCATGTACCGCCTATCTCCATTCACCTATTTCGTTTCCGCCGTGCTATCTACCGGCGTTGGAAGGACAGATATTGTGTGCGCAGCCAACGAGGTTCTCCGTCTTGCCCCCGCAGCAGGACAAACATGCAAGGAGTACCTGACCCCTTATACGACGTATGCTGGAGGCCGAATTCTCAACCCCGAGGCTACCGACATGTGCGAATTTTGCGCAGTTGCCGATACAGATACGTTCTTGAAGGGATTGAACATCATCTTCGACGAGCGCTGGAGAAATATCGGTATCTTGTTCGGATACATTGCTTTCAACATGATTGGCGCCATTGGCCTGTACTGGCTTCTCCGTGTCCCGAAGAAGAAATCAGGAGTGAAGCAAGGACAGGAGCCGAAGCAAGAGGCCGGAGCAAAGGCTTGATCATTTTTTTACTAGAATACCCAATGCCACCTAGGGGCCCATCGGCCCTATGCACATACATACCCCCTTTTTGAAACACATCATAGCTCTTCTCTCCAAAGATACATTGTCTATATTACTTCTTCCTCGTCTTGCAAATAGACTAGATTTCTACTTCAATTTTCACACCTCTCTTACATTTCTACATTAACTATATTTTCATATTTTAATAGCCCCCATCTGGGGAGATTTTTGATACTTTACTGTATACCATACCTTGTTTGTGTCTCACTCTCGTTTGCTCCCACTTGGACACGCCACTATAAATAGAATAACAGTTATATTTACTACCTTCTCCATACTTGAATATATTGATCAGAGATAGCTCTTCTAAAATAAGATGAATAGTCTCATCAGTCGGGTCTCTTGGAATTGGATGATTAACTACTTCTTACCTGCCTGGACGTGATTGGTGGATTTCGCCTTTCGTGATAGGGTAAACGTGTGCACTGACCGATCTATACGAGGTTAAGATGGAGATACAGGTTCAAAAATAGAAACTTGACCGGAATATCTTCCTTAACTCCATCACACCCATATACATATACACAGCATGCAGCGTAGTATGGGTGTTGACGTATACTCCATACTTAGCGGATGATATACATACCAAACAACCGGTTGCGTTCCTGATTTGCTCCCATATCGTGTCCATGAATGCTCCCGTCCACCCGCAGAGTATAAACTTTGGAGTTGATTACTTCCATGGAGCAAGATGACTTTGAAGCGAAAACGTTTGGTTCAGAACAAAACTCCAAAATTAACAACCATATTTATTAATAATTGTGCATATTTTCTGATGAGTCACGCACGGGATAGAAGGCAGCTTGCATGTGTAACGAAATGAAGCGTTGTGATTCGGTCGGTTGGCGTGGCTATGGTCAATAGCCTATTTTACCTTGCAACAGGTTGGTTTATTTTTATCTGCCTTGCCGCCCTGAGACAAAAACCACTTAGCCAGCGAGGTAGTTAGGTTTTAAGGCACCAAGTGTGTAGCGAATGAGTTCTGGAGGCAAAGAGTAAGAAAAAACACACTTTTCCGGGATCTAGTCCGTCCTCCGTAGTTAGTGATAAATAGTAAGAAAAGTTGACAAACCGTATGGGGTGTCATTGTTAACCCTTCAGCTCATGTAGGCGTACGACAAGAGTATGTAGGTAGCGTTGATTCCTCTTTTCTCGTTCAGCTTTCGCCCAGGACGGCTCAGTAAATTATTCGTCCACGCTATGCAGACCCCTGTTCAGCTGACAATCTGAGGAATCCACGGCGCTTAAGGAGAAAATGCTGACCAAGTGATCTACGGTACAAGCATGGAGTCCGCCCACCAACCCAGAATGCGGCAGTGCGTGCTTGAGAGTGTGTGCACCGGATTGCCCAAGTGCTGGTGTACAATAAGACACTGTCACAAAGCGGCAAGGAGTTTCGGGGTTCTGGTCTCGACGAAAAGGCCGAAAAAAAAGGGAGGAAGAAGCGAAAGTCCAACAAAACAAATATATATGACCCATTTCTTCTCTATTAGGCGATGAGAGATGGGAAAATCAGGATGGGCGGAGGAACTCATCCATGCGGACGGACTGCACTCGTGGGAGGGCCAAAAACAAAATCAAAATCATGGGTTGGTTTTGCTTATTTCTGCACTCTCACTGTACAGAGTGAGACGGTCACCAGCTATGAAACAGTCCTGCATGAGAAATCGGCCCCCTTCTAGAAGGATGAGGAATGAAGTGCAATGTAGTTCGTGCCAGTCCAGTCAATGAGATAAGGGCAGTTACCATATTTGCCAGCTTGCCATACCTTCGTGAGTGTGCATTTGCAGGGTCAACCGGTACGGAGCACCAGTGTTGAAACATCGTTTTGTTGTGGTGTGTAGGACAGCTGAAGGCCCCAGATGACAGAGAACTCTATAACTGAGCGTAAATGATGCAAGAGAGAACCCCGTGGGGGGGGGGGAGGAACCTTGGGACTATACTATGTACACTCGAAGGCGGCCCATCGGGCAATATTCGTTAATTTCTCCGTTTAACTCTATGAGTGATTCCCACGAAGGGGACGGTCTCATCGGTCAGCCCTCCGATTTCTACACACTCCGAAGAGGTGGTGTCAAGTAGAGTCTCCGTACTCACACACCGGTCTGAACACGGGTGCGTTGCGCTGATTATGCATGAGAGAAGGATCGGGTTGCGACACAAAGACGTACCTGGAGAGTATACATATATTACATAAATAACTTTCGAAGCTGACTGGCGCCCATATCGGGTTAGAAAGGCGGCCGGTCCCACGTTTGGAACATTGCCCGACTTTCTCGAGCGGGCTCCGTATCTCCCGCGGCCGGGCACTGTCGATCGAGGCAGAGAATGTGGCACAGGCAGAAAGTCAGACCCTTTCACAGCATTCTGGTATGCAAGGCGCTAGATTCGCACCGCATGGGAACAATCTGCCTTAAACCAGAGAGTTAGCCTGATTGACACACATACACACACACACACACACACACACACACACACACGGCATACGGCATATCTCTGTGATGATTTGAGGATGTAGAGCTCACTACTTACCTACAGCATTACGGAACCCCGTCTCATGCAGGAAGAGTGGCATATATCGAAGGTTTTGGGTAAAAAGCCAGAGAGGCTGGCCTGGCACAAATGAGCTGTCAAGGCCGGATTTCCACAAATCACCAGCACAGCCCAATGAGTGGTCAGCACTGCACGGAGTATACGTCCAAGCAAGTCATATCATCCCCCCTCGTTCAGATCAGTGTACCGTTTGACGCAGGCTTCTCCTCCTTACGATGCTCCTGTGTTTCCTCAACGTTGAAAAGGAGCAAAACCACCGAATAAACGAAAAAGAAATTTTTTTTGCGGTCGAAGTTGAAATGGCCGGCAGAAAAAAAAAAAGGCGGACTTCCAACTACGGTAATTGCTACGACCAACTCAACCTGCACCGTAAATGTTAGGACTCGCACAAGGAAAAACGAAGAAGAAGAGCCGTTTTGCAAGACAGGAGCCTACTCTGGACAGGAGTATGTGTATCTAGGATGGAGGAGTCGGTTGTTGATGCACGCATGATCGACATGGCAGATGCTATGTGAGTTTGTATAATGCAAAATTTGCCATCACATATATCTAACCTCCCCAATCTTCCCAAGCAGATCTGTGATCCTCCAGAAACACAGCCCGCCGGGGGGGGGGTGACGACAGGTATCCATGCTCTGCCACGCCTTCTATTGCGCCCGGTCTGCGGTCTGCGGGGGCTGAATGCATTGGCTGATTTGCGGTACGGCTGGATGCCTGGACGCCCAGAATAATGACTTGTATGCACAAATTACTGATGACTGAGTATTGATGAGGAGGAGGGTGTCCTCGCTAGACATGATTGGAGAGGGAAACAGAACCTGCATTCCTCGCTCTTTGGATGTGCAGCTTGAAGGATCAGACTTTGAAGATGAAACTCGTGTGGGACAAGGTCCAACTCGGCGTCCTCGGGGCGACCATGCACATTTCGACAAGGGTCTCTGTTTTTTGTAAAGGCACGCATTCCAAATAACTTTTTTGCAGGTACTTGGTACGATGGAGTACATGCAACAGTCCTTGACTCGGGAGATACGGTCCGAATCCTACTTCTCAAAGTTTCCAGTTTCGTCCAATCGTTGCACACGCTTGGACTGACTAGTGTCAGCCTATACGAGCAATAGCGGCCTTCAACACGTGTTTATGATCCCCAGCTCAAGGGTAGAACCTTGATCGTGAAGGTTTGTCTGTCAGCTATCGATAATATATCCCGCAGTAACGGGCAACCAAGGACGGGTTGTGGGACTCCTGAGATATAATAAATGGTACATGCATCCTGCGTGTGGGAAAACAAAGTCCAAATGCTGGTTACATGGGATCCTGCAGACTCGACTCGGCATGGCGCGAGCAGTAGTTGCTCTTAAGGGTCCATCGCTACGGGACTGTCTTGCCAAATAGCCGTTCACACCGATTAAACCCCTTTCGAACCACGCTGACCAGTACCTCGTTCACTTAAGCCAATGGCAAGGGGCATTGTACCCTCGTCATGTTGGCCATTATCTTGCACGAAAACTGTGCTTGAGCATGCAGGGCATCTGTCCCGCTCTTTCTCCCGACTAACTGGCCTAGCTGCTGACTAGAGTATCCCTTAAACGGAGCATTGGGATGTTGATCTGAATTGACTAAATCCAGCCACCCGTCCTGGTTTGACGACTAGTTACCAGCACGTTACGTGCTCAGAGTTAGAGGAGTTTATCCGTTGAGGAACCGACGAGACGAACATAATTTACCACAAACTAATTAGGAGAGTTTTACGCTCGCACCTGAACATGTACGGATTATATGTCGACAACGCCCCTGCCGGATATTGTGCCCTGCCTGGCATTAGCAGATGGCATAGCACAGTAGTGGAAATCAGGTACCACGACGCTCAACTCCCGAACCAGGGTCATTCTCAGCTCGATATCAAGCTCCATACTCCTTTACGTACAAGTGGACACTTAAGATTTAAATCAAGTACATACTATGTATGTATTACTTCAGGCTTCTTTTCCCTGTCGACGTAGGGGTCTCCTTGATATGTGAGTGAGCCCCTGGCCTCGTGGCCGACAGGATATTAAGTTATCCCTCGTACCATGAACGGTCCAAAAAAAATCGGAGAATACGCCATGGGCCCCTCCGCATATACTGACCAGGGTGCATGAGGATATATAGGTAAGAGGTCTACAATGCAAATGAAGAAAGACATGGAGTGTTTCTACCCCGTGTCGGGCAAACTATTGATTTACAGTGGGTATACAAATCATACGTTGACGTATCGAACAACTTGCTAGTGCTGATCGCCATGTGGCAGAGACAAACTTGTCAAACCCCCCAAGCACATATAAATATATATTGTCTTTATGGCTCGTATTCCGGCAAGGATCAGGGCAGACCCTCACCTCGCTTCCTGGAAAGCCATGCAGGGGCGCTGTCCTTGTGATTTCCAATCCCTTGCAAATTTATTTTTATACTTTGACCACCACGTTGTTTTCCTTTTTTTCTGAAAATGGGGCCAGGCATTGAGGCTCTGCATAGTTCGACCGTGTCCGACACTCTTATCTCATGTGGCCTTTGAGTGGAAAGAAGGGGAAAAAAGAAATAATACCGGAACCATCTTAGCTGACTGGGTAATCCCTGTCCCCTACACCCGCTACATCATGGCGCAAGGTCAGTGGGTGGTGGAACAAGCTCTCTCTTCTTTTCACGGGTCTGAGCTGCTGGCTGCTTTTATATACGCCTTCATCCCCCTAGATCCTCCCTCAGCTTGATCTCAACTACCTTCCCCCATATATATTCTTGAATTTTTTTCTCTTATTAACGCTGGCTTCTCACTTGAACTCTCATGCCATATACATGCACACAGAACTATACAACCTACGAGGCTTCCACCTTCCTCCCTATTCCAACCTGGACCGTTAACACCGTCAGCTCTACCCTCAAGACTAGTTGTCGCAGCTCTAAACCCAGAATTACATCGCGGTCTCCTGTCATTTAGATCTTAATATCAACCTCAAGGATGAGCTCAATGGCAGGCGCTTTCACACTCTCTCTCGACCCTACACAGGTCGGCTTCCTGGATGACGGGTCGCAAAACGACTATGATCTCGCTCTATCTCCACGATCCGACGATATCAGAGCGATGCTAGGCTCTAATGACTTCTCCTACGACCTTGATACATCAGGAATAATTGGCCGGAAGCAAGATATTAACAAGACACCATTGTTTAAGCAGCCGTTCTCTGGTTTTGAGGCATGCGCTTCGGCGTTTTCGTCGCCTCCCCTTGGAGATACCAACATCTACAACAGCTCATACCACATGGAGGCTACAATTCCGTGGGAAACTGATTGCATGTTATACCCATCTCTACCACAGCGCATGGTGAGGTATGCCTCTCCATTTGGGTCCTGCGGAGGAGACCAGTCCACATCAGACTCCTCCATGAGCGAGTACTCATGGCACTCTCCTAAACTGTACCCCAGTGTCAATGATGTATTCGACTCGCCAGTCAACGAAAAATATCAATACTCCGAGGGCATCGACAACGCTTTGTCTCGAAGCCTAAGTGGCTCTCAGTTCGGAAGCGAGTGCTCCGTTTCACCTAAAGATGTACAGCATTATCCAGACCCTGTTCCCGCACAAAGTCCTATCTTCGAAGACCTGATGATCTCCAACAAGGCTCCTCGGTCCATCCCTACTTTTATGCCACAGGCCCTCTCCATCCAGAACTTGGACTCACAACTAAACCAGGACGACATGGTGTTTGGGGAGCACCTGCAATCTGAGGACAATGAAATAGTTGACCCGGCACTAGGCGAAGCCTATGGTGACCACCAGGGTAGCCTTTCAGGAATCAACACTGCGGCATTTTCCGGTTTCACCCACAAGCGGGTGAAGTACAACGAAATGAAAACAGAGAGGACCGCCTCGATACCAAGCCCACCACTATCCCCCAGCGGCAGCGAGAGTGGTGTGCGCAAAAACCGAGCAAAGCCAAAGCAGAGACAGTCACCAATCAGCAAACGTACGAGCAGACGAACCCCATCCAAGAGCTCAAGTTTCAGCATTCCTCGAAACCGTCAATCGGCGGCAGACCGCATCTTCTCCTGTGTTTTCGCTCCATATGGCTGCACAAGCTCTTTTGCATCAAAGAATGAGTGGAAGCGCCACGTTCTATCGCAGCATCTACAGCTTGGCTTCTATCGATGTGATATCGGCCACTGTAAGGTGTCCAGGCAAACCAATCATTCCCTAACATCCACTCCCTACTCCTGTGACTGCCCAGCATCTCTCTCCTCCGCTCCCTCTCATTCGTGCACTATTACTACCATGCGTACGCCCAACGACTTCAACCGCAAGGACCTCTTCACCCAGCATCTCCGTCGTATGCATGCGCCTTGGCTCACCCTGCCTTCGCCCCATGAGCCTACCAAGGCCGAACGCGAAGCGTTCGACAAGCAACTCGATGAAGTCCGAGCCAGATGCTGGGTACAGCAGCGACAAGCACCCCAAAGGAGCCAGTGCAACTATTGCAGCCATGAATTCGTTGGCCCACACTCTTGGGAAGACCGCATGGAGCATGTTGGCAAACATTGCGAGGTCATGGATTCTGAAGAGCGCGAAGACCTTGCTCTACGTGAGTGGGCCATTGAGGAGGGTGTCATCCAGCCATATGGGCCCGACAAGTGGTTGCTAGCAAGCATTCTAAATGGCACCGGAAAGAGGGCTTGTGGCTATTCCTCATAATTCACTAATGACTATGATCAAAAAAGAGAAGATGAGAGAACCAAAAAAAAAAAAAAAGAAAAGAAAAAAAAAAAAAACACTTTCCACTGTGTCTGTGTAAATACTTCCCCTTTGTTTGATGAACTTTCTTATGTTACCTTTTTACGACTCGGGCAAGATTTTCAGGAAAATTCAGCATGGCATTATGTGATGGTATGGAAAGGGAAAACTTGGGTCTCATTTGTAACGAATACAAAGTCTGAAATGCTTAATTTCTCTCTCCTTTTCTTTATATGACACATTTCATTTCCTCTCTGTGACACGTTCTACTTATTCCCTATGCATATTAATATATCTTATCACGACCTCGATGACTTGATGCATTTTCTGTGATGATTTTTTTAGACCTTTTGCCTATCGCAAAAGTGCATGTTCAATTAATAATACTCCGTTTCTGTAACATCTCCAACAATTAGCCTGTCTAATATCATCTCTAGAAAGCCTTGATGACCGTGCATCAGCAAGTATATGCGCAAACATAGTACAGTTATATCTCCCTCTATCCGAAGTATCAACTATATTACTTCTGTAAATATTCCTCCCACCTTCGGTGCACATATCTCATGCATGCAGCATGGTTATAATAACCCGAGCCCTGGTTGATTACTGGCATAGCCTATTAAATGCGAATGGGAATATGTAGGGTATACATGTATGTATGTACTCAAGCTGGCCGAGGTTATGTCTGTTTCCTAGCGGCCATGCACGGAATTGCAAATGCAAATTTCACGAAGGATTCAGCTTACATCAAGGACTTCAATAGGTAAATTGCCATGCAGAACCCAGCTTTGCAATGTTTAAATTATGACGGGATTTTTCCCGAACACCGTTGGCCACGAGGCTGCGAAGTTAGCAAACAGGCAGAGTTCGCAAATAAACTAAGTGGGAATACCTTAAACATTAGCCTCTCTATTCTCGTGTAAGAGATAAATTAATGTAGGATCGTGAAGAGAGATACGAGAACCAACAAGCTTTGAGGATCCTGTGGACCCTCCGCCATCAAATGGACAGTTGCTTTGCCACGGTTTACGCCATTGTTGGTATAAGCGTATGGAGGCATGGCCAAGGTAACAAAAAGGGTTTGATTCTTGAATATCTGAAGCCTTATATTTGTAGACTTCCGACTCCGTGAAGTGGGACCGAATACCTGGTGAAGCGATGTAGAAAATGGCAGTTGACGGGGTGTGTATATGGAAGATAGCATCGGAGTCGGATGAAACCCTAGCCATATTTAAAAGGGATATTTATTGCACGAGCACAGGACACTCAAGGTTTGACGGACCACTTTCAATATAAGTAGTAGGCTATCTACCATCCGACATATTGGCGGTAATGCAATATCGGGTAAACGGTTGATCAGGATTGGGGTATATGCAGAGGGCCTTTGTCATGAACTTCGACTGCTGCATAGCATTTGTTGCATCTTCAAACTATACGCATTGGGCTGTTCTCAAAATTAAAGTGGCTGTATTATATATATGGCGTTTTGATGGATATATACAAGGTGAATGGTCGATCGCTAGAAATCTTAGTTGGCCATGTGGATAATCGCCATCGCGTGGCATTCTGTTGCATAATGCCAGGATCAGAAATCGCGATAATGCGGGGACGATCTACGCTAACGGGCGTAGAGTGTTGAAAAGAAATATAGGTCTAGCGTCAGGGAAATTAGCAACTTCCAGCGAAAGGCTCGCTGGCGTGATAGCTACACATCTCAAGATTTCCTTCGCTTTTCAACCGCCTCTCGCAGTTTAGCAATAACCTCTCCAGGATCCTGGGCTCCGAAGACAGCAGATCCAGCAACGATGACATTAGCTCCCGCATCAGCTGCCTGGTCTATGGTCCCAATGCCCAGCCCACCATCGACTTCAATGTTCATATCTGGGTATTTAGCCCTCAAGGCTTTAACCTTGGGTAGCTCCGAGGCCATGAATTTTTGGCCACCGAAACCTGGGTTAACAGTCATGACGAGAACCATCTGATGTGTATGCAGTTAGAACAATTGCTTCCTACGAAATTGAATACCTCACGGCCTAAAAGAGTGTTCTCACATCTGGACGTTCAGCTTCCTCTTTGCTTTCCAAGATATTCCAGAGTACATCTACGCTGGTCTCTGGCTTGATAGCAATTCCGGCTTGCATGCCTAGTTCATGTATATAACGAATTAGCTCCTTTGGGCTCGTTTGCTCGGTAGAAGTACCCGAGGGTTCCTTGGCAGCAGTGGAATTGACGGCAGCCTCGTAATGGAAGCAGTATAAATCGCATCCCGCATCTTTAAATTCTTTAACCCATTTTTGAGGCTATAATAGAGTAAGCTATCAAGTCGTGGATAAACCCGAAAATAAAGCACGGGGAGCGGAAGGACGAGGGTACCTCTGCGATCATCATATGGCAGTCAAAAGTCCCTTTTCCACCCGCAGTAGCTGGTCTTTCAACATGAGTCCTTATTTTCGAGACCACTGGAGGTCCAAAGGTGATGTTTGGTACAAAATGACCGTCCATGATGTCGACATGGATCCAATCACTGTTATCCTTCATCAAACCGGAACATGCTGCGCCGAGAGAGCCAAAGTCGGCTGATAGAATCGAAGGAGCTATAATGGCTGGGGGACCCATCCTGAGTTAAATGTACGAGCTGTTCAGAGACTGTGTTTTGATAATGAAGATGAAGATGAAGATGAAGTTTGAATGTTTTGGTCCATCAATGCGCGATAGTGGGGTAGCGGGGAAATCTACACATATTAGTCAGCCATATAGTCACATGACTACAATTAATACTCACATCTCTCATTAGTCATTAATCCGAAGTCTTCCGGCGTCACTTTTGAAATTATTTGATATAAAATAAAAAAAGGAAAGGAAGAAGACAAGAATATTGATAGATAAATATAGAGGTAGGTCTATGTTACTATAGGCTTGATTTGCTGTCATGGATGGAATAGTGAAGTATGGTGTGGGATAAAACACTTAGTTCAACATAAGCCTGGAGTTGTTCATCCATTATAAATTTGGAGTGAGAGCACCTATTTTGTATCCCCTTGAGGCGATAAAGTTCTAAAATTCTACTAGTAGTATCCCTCATGGAGTCTTTTTAACGTGGGCGTAATCGGCCGGTACTTTGAGTGGTAGAATTCTGTGGATGCTGAGTAACCCTCTTAACAACATGCTATGATCCGACATGCATCTCATTTGCCTAAGATGGACTTGCCCATCAGTATTCAAATAACTCGTGTTAAAAATGCCCAAAGGGCCAACCCCATGCCTCAGGCGGACCTTGATATCGGACACCGTAAGAGCTTGAAGTTCATACTGTCGCTCTTCAGTATATTGCTATAATCGAACGTGATGCAAAGGTTGTGATTAGTGAAAGGAAGCCTCGACTAAGCTTTAATACAGCAGTAAGCTGGCATGGCGTAGTTAAATGTCACCTTTCATATTGCAAAAAATTTTGCAGTAAGGCTTGAATTGGTATAAGAATGCAGTCGAATTCTCTTGATCATAGACATGGGATATCCGCCACTTACGTTTTATAGTATAGCCTAACCAGGGATTTAGTATAATGAGGATTTTAAACCCTTCTAATTTGCGGTATAAGGCTTTGATGTTTAGACCCAGAGGTACCTTAAGAGATGTATCGTGACGGTGATGGGTCTTAACATCTGCTTAATGACTCCATTCGGGTGGTATAGTATGAGGATTCACGATAGAAGACATTAAATGGTTATGCTCTTGGAGTGGAAAAGTATGGCATCTTGCCTTTCACCATAGCCCAAAGTCAGGGGTTTCTCTGGCCATAGCCAAACAGGGAATGCGCCATGGTTGATGGTCCGATTCTTCTTGGTAAAAGGTCTTTATAGATGGGTATATATATATATATATATATATATTTGAAATAACTGACGTTGTAAGTCAATCAAACACCGAAATATTCCCATGGCATGTGTACTGTTGTCTTCGAATGATCAGACTGCAGAATTCAGACCACTCCTTCTTTCAAATCTATTAGGGTAGAGAATGATACCCCTGGAAAAAGCATAGACGATGGTAGTAACTTGGAGAACAGACAGTTGTAAAGGAAGATGCTAGTATGTAGTTCACATTCAACGATAACCGCACGTTACCATGAGACCCATTCAGCATCCTGAGGTGAGACTCATCATCCAACGAATAAAACTGGCAAACTTCATGTAGGCATCTCATCAAACGCTCACTAACCTGTAGAGACTAGGCGCAAGTTACTTCAATTTATCGTGAGTCTTTTAATGGCCGTATTTGTTATCCAGTAGGAGACCTTAACCCTCTTGATATTTAATCTATGACAATAGACTTGAGACTGTAGCTTGCTATTCTGCACTGCTATGCATGATAAGTCACCAGATAATATCTTCTTAATATATCTTGAAGAAAAAGGATCCGTATCATCGACCTTGAAGTCCTCCAGGTCGGATTTGGAGACCGCCGGAACGGGCTATTTTTTATCCATGGAGAGTTGTGGGCGCGCCCCTAATAAAGCAGCTAAATATGAATACCGATATTAACTACCTATTACTTGGTAATTTCTACGTCCACTGCTATCAATCCTCCATCTCCTTGAAAATTTGGCTATAAAACTTGCAAGGAATATCGATATCTCGTTCTACGGCCATGGCGGGAAATCCTCCGAGCTCCTACACTACCGACCCCACGCTTTTTCTCTACACCTCTCTGACAGCAGGCTCATCTCATATCATTACAGCAACTTCTCGCCTGGAAACAATTCTCAAGGCGAACAAGATCCCCTTCCGCGCGATTGATGTTGCCACAGATGAGAAAGCACGCATGATATGGGGTAGGAGGTCGAAAGGTAGAAAGCTACCTGGCCTGGTTAGATATGCCAGTATAGTTGGAGTTAGTACAAGCCAGCCGTCACGCAGTCTCTTTTCTCATTACTTCTCTGACTTTGTCTCGTAATCTGCTACTGTCTATATTGCAAACTGATGCATGAATTATAGGACTTGGACCAAATTGAAGAGTGGAATGAATACGGTGAACTGAAAGCACAGATAGCAGCAACCCTGTCGCCCTATGACGCTTCAAAATCGGAACCACAGACGGTGGCTGTGACACCCATGCCAGCACCGCCCAAAACAACCAGTTCTTCTTCTGCTCCCCATATAAGGATAGGAGATACTCCTTCCCGGACTCCGTCTAGTGAACAACAGGGTGAGAATATGCCTGCTGCACTGCGCCAGGCGAGCGAGGAGGCTGCGGCGAAGGCCAAGGAAAATATGCGGGCACGACTAGGATTAAAGCCTCAATCACCCATACATAAACCAGAGGATAAGAAGCCAGAGGGCCAGAAACAAGAAGAGCATATACTGAAGGAAATGAAATCAGGCGCGTTGGATGAGAAAAAGGTAGGCGGGGAGAAGAAACTGGAAGACAAGAAATCAGAGGATCAGGAACCGCAGAAGAAGGAACTCGAAAAGGAGAATATGGGAAAACAAGAGCAAGGAAAGGAAGTTCAACCGGCACAAGAGAAACCGGAAGGGAAGAAGATGGAGGAGCAGCCCGTGAAGGGGGAGAATGGAGAGACTGAGAAACTGGCTGTAGTATCTGAGACCACAGAGCAATCAAAGAAAGCAGAAGAACAGGCACCCATCAAATCACCAGGAGGAACGGACACGGCTGAAGTGGAATCGACTGGCGACTCGAAACCAGAAAAGGCAAAGGATGAAGGAGAGGCATCAACAGCCAGCCCAAGTGCAACCGAGGATGCGTCAAGCCGGGAAAAAGAAGCAGTATGATGCTGACGCAGGCTGACTGTTCCTTCTATCCGAACCATCATCATTATCACGAGACAACCATCAAGTACATACATCTATAAAGCGCTGTCACATATATGTTACGGTTTCCATTTTCACAAACTGCCAACAATACATTATTACACATGAACAGAGCTTTTTCTAGCACAAGTTGTTGTCCGGGGTCTCTTGTGTACGGAGTAATATTGTACAGGACAGTCCGACTTCGCAACACGGGAAGCAACAGTAGATGCAGCGCGGCATGCACGGATGTCTGCTGGATCAACATGAGCAGCAGCTCCTATCGGTTCTCCCGCCTGTACGTCTCAACATGGTCTCCGAAACACCTACTTACTATGTTATGCAACCCCTTTTAAACCAGCCGGGGCAGAGGATCTATCACGTGACTGATATTGCCTATTTTGGGCATGTGAACGATGTTTCGTATCTCTTCGTCCATCTCGTTCTATCTTTTACGCCTCGACATATCATTTGTTGCTGGGCTGTGACCCGGCTGAACCGAGAGAGAGAACGTTGTGACAACGAGTGAGAGCTGACCTTTTTTGGTGCTGCAAGAGTCCACGGGATCTCTCAGTGAAATAATGCACGCCAAGGGGATCTGGGCTGCGCGGCGCTGTGTTGGCTTTCCGATAGGCCGCCTCGCTGTGCGCCCACTGGAGTGATGAGTTGGCCATTGAAGGATAGCAAGGGTCTGCAGCGACTGATGGGCTGTTCATTGGGCTTCTCGTGTTTGGGCGTGCAGCATGTCCCAATCTAGCATAGCCTCTATTGCTGGCTGTCTTAAAGCCCCTTCACCCTCCCGCCTCCCATTCCTTTCGTCCCCCCTTTCTCCTTTTTCGCCATCACTATCTTATCGATCCCCTCCTTACGTTGCGTATATTACCCCTGAATCTTGCTTCTCAGGAGCCAAATCATACATAGTATATACAGACCACCCAGGCTCACCCTGCTCAGAAGAATAACGTTGGTGATATTTCATTCTACCCTGGCTTTCTCTTTCGTCGAGCATATGCATGTTGTAGTGCTGACCGTGAAAACAGAGTTGCTGCACATAACTCATAGGCTGATATAGCCCACCACGGAACATATCTCTGGTCTTCTGGTCTTTGCGGATCCCAGCGAGCTACGGAGCATTTGGTTTTATTTGGTCACGCAACGCCCTCCCCGTCATGGCTCTATCCTTTAGCAGTGATGAGCTGTTCAACTCGGTGCTTTCCTCCTCTAGAGAAGCTTTCTGGCAAGAGCACTCACATCTACCCGAGTCACAACGACAGCAACTCTGGAGCCAGCGTTTGGAGCCGTTCATGACTACCCCGAACCGGCAACCCAACTACACTCACGTCAAAGGACCAGACACATACGAAGCCCCAGGACTCTCTGGGAAACGAAGTCGTGAAGCCATGAACCACAACTTGACCTCAGGACGCCTAGCGAGCAAACGACGAGCTACCGTAGGTCTCCGATTTCTTGGTCAAATCCCCCTTCGCAAACGTCTTTTCCAGACAGCTGGGATTAACATGAAGAATTTAGAGCCAGGAACCTAGTTTGGAGTCATCTAGCTGCAGTAGACCTCTACCACAACATTCAGTTTCGTCACCTTCACGGATCCCGCGGTACTCACCGCCTCTTTCAAGGACTGGTAACTCTTCTCCTGAGACCAACGTGCTCCTACCGACCACGACAATGCAACAATCCAATGACTCAACGACTGGCCTTCCGTTCTTCCTCCCAACGTCTACTGCATCGAATTCTCCCGTCTTTGGTCTCGACCTCCTTGAACTGAACCCCGAGCTCCACGGCTATACTTCTGAACTATACGACCAAAAGCTTTTGGATGGTACTGCCGCTATCGATGCTTCGACTACTGGAACCCCAAATCCAACCGTTGTCCAGAGTCCCCCTTCTCAGAACACTCAGCAACAGCAGGTCATCCCCACCGGTCCGGATTGTGTCGTGCCTAACCCCTCTGGCTGTAGTGCTGAGATGAATCGTAGTTTTACTACTGACTCACTCTGTGGAGGAATGAACATGATCAGGTTCGGTTCGAACAGATCGGTTTCCAACAATCTGGAGTTTCCAGATCAATCATCAGCAAATTTCTTTGCATCGTCATTACAACAAGACAATGACACAAACTACCCCTTTTCCTTATTGCCCACTACCCAAGCCCCATCTGATAGCAACATGACTCATGTTCAATTTTCTCAGTCCTTGCCCGAGTACGGGCCTGGCTATTTTCCTTATTCTATTTCTACCTCTCGCACACGCTCATCCTCTTCTTTGCATTCTTCGTCGTCGGCTTCATCTACTGAGATGAAGCCTTCTCTGTCGAGCGAGAGTCAAGAATCCTCTCGCTCGAGTAACTCACGGGCTCTGCGGAGGACACATGAGCAGATCATACAGGGTACACGAAAGATTGCGCCTAAGGCTGCTGATAAACAGGGTATTCAGCCCACAGTGACTGAGCACCGGAAGATCAACATTCCGGCGGCTGACGGTCGATCACGCGAAGTCGCTGTGATACCAAAAGCTTCGGTTCAACGACCTGCTCGTCAAAAGACATACTGCACCATGTGTAACGAGCAGCCCGAGGGCTTTCACGGCGAACATGAACTCAGAAGACACATCGATCGATCTCATTCTCAGGTCCGCAAAGTGTGGATCTGCGTCGATATATCACCTGACAAAAAATTTCTTGCTAATTGCAAGGCCTGCCGAAACCAAAAACGGTATGGTGCAAATTATAATGCAGCTGCTCACTTGCGTCGCACACATTTCAACCCATGCCAACGCGGCCGTGGGGGGCGAGGCAAGGACAGCGAAAAACGTGGGGGAAAAGGCGGCGGCACCCACCCACCCATGGAAGTTCTTAAACACTGGATGGTGCAACAAGACGAGATCGTACTAGACAACCCCTCAGCCATCGTCAACGCAACAAATGATGTTACCGGTGCCGAAAAACCACAAATCCCTCGTCGTGCCTCTAACGCCAGCCACCATAGCACTAGCGACAGCGAATGTGGCAGCACCATCGCAGCCGTGAACGATAATGTTACAACGGTCGCTGAAGAACAACAATTGTCCGCCCCAGCTATCGCTGCCAAATTCGATCCGTGCGCAACCACTATCGATCAACCTGAGTTCGATCTCTCACCTCAAATGCCTTTTAACCTCGATGATTTTGCTGCCGCTCCGGCTCCATTTGACTGGAGTGAGGGTAGCCACCCGACAACCCTTGGAGGAGGGTATATCCCAATGGGTCAGGGTATCATGCATACTTATGACCCTTTGTTTTATCATTAATTGCGTACAGATGATCATCCAGCCAAAGCTGCCATGATCGTCTGTTTGTTTGTTTGGCAGTCATACTGTAGAGCACTTGATCTACGATGACTTGATTTACATTTCTTCGTGTTCTTTTTATCTTATTTCTCCTTTTTTTGTTTTTTATAGGTATTTTGTTTAATTTCCTTTTTCATATTTTCCACGGATGGAGATTGTTACATATCTCCACCAAGAGTTTACGATTTGATCTTTTTGGGGTGATCACTGGCTACAGTGCAGTGGAATTCTCTCACAGTCTCCTATTTAAATCTTAGGTTTCAGGATTCATTTTTTTCATGACTGGCTGTTACTCGTTTTGTGCATTGAGATTTCACATTCTCCCTTCTCTGCTATGACTGTTCTTATATAATATTTATATTATATTGATCATCGTCCCTAGCCATACACCATTGGGTATGGCTGGGAGTTTTCCTTTTTTTTCTTATTTTTTTATGCTCGACAATGATTACTTTTCGATTATCTGTATGAAACAAGCCTAATATGTAATGCCATGAATGACTAGTGTGCGAATGTGAGCGCCTTATAACAGCCCTCTGGTCCTATTATCGAAGACATCCTTCTCGGCTCGGTAGTTAGTATCGCCATGTCGCTGCCTATCATCAAAATAGATAAAGTTGTCAATGCGAGTAGATGGACCCTGAAAGTGTATTTCTCTTTAGCAGTTGCAAAGAAGTTGAAGAAAACGGTGGTATTGCTCCATCAGGCATGAACAACCCTGCATTCGTCAGGAAGCAGTGCATAAGAGAATGATGTCGATGGCAAAAAGAAGACACTTGCAAGGAAGCCATGAGTAGCAAGAGAAGGTCGACTTCTGCTCGTTATTGGTCAGCATTTCCTCAATAAGGCCCTTGCAAAGCGGTAAGCGATGGGCAAAATGACTGGGTTAAATATAGCTTCCAATCACCGTGCACAGCCATGCGGGCCAAGCCCAGACCCACTATTTCCCGTGCCTATGCTTACTTTTATTGGTCAGTTGAGTTTTATGCTTGTGGGAAGGTTCCATGAAGAAGGAGTGGGTCCCAGCCAATAGGGAGTAAGTTTCATGCACGGTTCATCACAGGCTAAACCAGTTTAGGTATAAACCACGGCCATTGTGCTCTGTTCCCAGCTAGTCGAAAAGTCTGCGAACCGCCCACTATGGAAAGGCATGGTGTGGTTGGTGGCGGTTGCATATAACTTTCCTATTGATGCATGAGACCAACTCGTCCCGCCTGGTGGATGCTTGGGAGGACATACTACATATATGCAACTGGCTAGCACAGTTCCTCCTCTGTTTCTTCAACATCTTCACTTCGCCTTTCGCAGCTCATACCTGTTGATCAGGTCTTTTAACGACTCCTATATTATTTGTAATATTCCTTCCCTCATAGCGCCGGTCGCACTAATACACACATTTGATACCCGGGGGCATCTTTCCTCTCCTTTCCTAATTTGTCTATACTTAATATAACGGCAGCACTGTTGACCAGTATGTCTACCTCTAATATTTCTACGTCATTCCAGTTCTCCGAAAGGGACTCGAAGTCCCATCTGGCTGTGCCACAACGGAGAATCAGTTTTGATGATCTTTACGATGCTACGGACGAGTCGACAGATGATTCGGATGTGGATGGCTGCCCTTCGTTGTCCAGCCACGGCGGTACCCGCTCCAGTACCGCTTCTTACACTCTGTCATCAAACCGGATGTCAACAGGGACGAATCGTGAGGGAGGGCGCCGAAACAGGTATCCTGTTATCATGATCCCGCCGCCGAGTTTTAATACCATTCACCATCAGCGCAAGAACTCGCCTGTACCGCCTACCCCTCCTCCGAAAATCCCTCTTTCGCCGATGGTACTTTCTCGCCTCTCTGGTGTTGTTCCGGCTCTCTACGCGCCTCCATCTTTGGCTGGCAGTGCGGCCTCTGAGAGACCATCGACCCTTAGTGCACCACAGACCCCTGACTTGGCTGCTGTGCCTGACGTCAATTGGGATGAAGAACAGCTTCGTGTTCAGTCAGACTCTGAGGGAGCGGGCGATCCGAGGTCAGCAAGTTCTGATATGAGCCCTCAAATCGACATCCAGCTTGAACAACCCGAAGATTGGAGCCTGGTGCTAGACAGCTTTCCACAGATCCCGACTCATTACACTGTTGGCAGGACCCAAGAAAGTGATGATGAAGAAGGATATGAAAAAGAGCCATCTTTAGAGGGCGTTCAACTCTCATCTGCCGCCATGGAGACACTTCAGCATATCCGAGTTTCTGGAGAGGATAGCAACACTTCATCCGCGTCGTCAATTAATGACCCCTCCGAAATGAACCAATTCACCGGATTCCCTGATGTCCGCCCAAAAAGCATGAACGATGCTGCCTGTGCTTCTGCGAGCTCATCATCTTCTTTTACAAGCCTGAGCATCCCATCACCTGGTGGCTTCTTTTCATCTCTTGATCGACACGCTCGAAGAACCTGGAGTTTAGTCCCAAGCAGCAATGTCCCCACGTCTGCAGTTGCGGAAAAGTTCTACGATCTTCCCTGGAATGCCCGCCCTCAAGGCCGCGTTGTTGAACAAGTAGTAGAATACCGAAACAGCTACGGCGATGACGACGACGATGCCACCGAGGGTCCTCCAACTGCCAAGAGAATTATTGGCTCCGCTCCCCAAACTGCACGAAAAGTTCCTGAGGAGGTATCTGAGTTGGCCCTGAAGCTCGACACTGGTGAGAAAAAGCCGGACGACTCCTCTGAATATGATGAATCTTATGAGGAGGGTTTGCAGACTCGTGCAATGCAGAGTCTCGATCGTACCAGCACATGGCTAGCGGCTCAAACTCAATATATGTCCGCTTTGAGTGAGACGAATCCCATTAACAGCCCGAAAGAGATATCGGTAACTCCTATCGACGAAAATGCCACTGCTGTCCCCGATCTCACGCTCAGCTCTACCAAGACGGTCCGCTTCCTCGATACTATCCCTGAGGAAGCCTCAGAAAGTCAATCAGGCCCGTCTACCCCACTTCCACCGCTCCCAGTTGCAATGAATTCTATTTTCTACCGGGGGTTCCAGCATTTCATGCGCACAAGAGGCAAAAATAGTAACATGGACACCTTCCTTCATAGCAATTTCCGGTATGAGGCTCTTCAGGTTGCACGCCTAACCATGCGGGATAAGCATGTAGACAAGCTTGCCGGTAAATACGAACTTAGCAATCCTGTTCGCCCACCATATAAGGGTCCGTTTTCACAAGCTCCTCGAAATTCTGTCCTCCCTCAGATCATTGCCGATAAAAAGATGTACAACGATGTGGAAAAGGAGCAAGATGCTTTGCTACAGGTCAAGAATTCCCTTTGGGTGATCGATGCTCTCAAGTTTATCAACGGTGGCCGTCTTATCCCTAGCCCAGCTGCTAAGCGTCTTGCAAGGGCAAGTCTACCTCTAGGTAACCAACAGGATTCCGTCAAGCGCAGAATCAGAGTTCTTGATCTAGGAGGCCAAGCATCCTGTGAATGGTCCTGGTTTGTTGCAAGGGAATTTCCCAACGTCAAGGTCTACACGGTTGTTACGAAGAAACAATCCATTGATATGGCCATCCAAGGTCCACCGAACCATCAATGTGTTTTGGCCCCAAATCTTTGGAAACTTCCATTCCCTAGTAACCACTTCGACTTGATCTCCGCTAGGACACTCCACATGCTTCTCCGGTCAACTCGCAACATTTCAATCAACGGAGAAAAAGTTGACGAATTTGAACTTTGCCTGCAAGAGTGTTTCAGATGCCTAAAGCCCAAGGGCTATCTAGAATTCTTCCTCATGGATTCAGATATCGCCCGTGCCGGCCCTTATAATTCTGCCACCTCTGTCGAGTTTAGCTTCAATCTGAAGACTCGAGGGTATGATCCTAACCCTACCAAAACGTTTCTGTGGAAGTTGAAGAAGTCAAACTTCAGCGCTATTAAGCGTGCATGGCTCTTTATGCCAATGGGCACTGCCCCCAGTGATGCCTCTCAGGTCCCCGGCAGCGGGAATTTGAATAATGCTGATAATATGGGGAGCACTGCCGATGTTGCCAACATCACCGGGCTACTTGCAGGGTGGATGTGGGAGCAATGGGTGCTTAAGTTGCAAATGGAGATGGGCCGTGATGAGAAGAAGTTGCTCGAGGAAATGAACGGTGTTTTTGACGAGGGGCGCAAGTCTGGCGCCGGATGGAGGTGTCTGAGTGGTTGGGCTATGAAGCCTTCACGCTCATGTTGATAATGGAACACGAGCCTCGAACGATCGTTATGTACACTCCCCTATTCTAACCACTCAGTGATCCCAATTCGTGTCTTTCTCTTCACTGGATGGATCTTGATTTCCGGTCCTTGATATCATTTCTTTCTTGTGTGTCAAATGTTTTGGTTAGATGTCAATGATAAACTTAATAAAGTAGTCTGTATATAGCCTTCCTCCAGTCGGTGCCTTGCCTATAACATACGGGTAGTAATATTCATATACAGACTCAAAAGGGACAAAAAAGGCATCGATGAATGTGCAAGTCATAAGGCAGATCACGTGATTAAAACATGGGCGCTCTAGTGGATTGTGCTGAATAAGCAATAATCACGTGATATGTTATCGACAACGAGAAATATCAAAGTTGAAAGATGTAACTAAAGAATAACAAGAACGACGCAAGGCGACCAATGGTTCATGCGTATCACTTGACAGACTTGAACTGGGCGCCGCGGCCTGCTAAATACTGACCCCGCTAATTACCAAGCAGGGTTATCCAGCAAAGATGTTATTTTTCAGGTAAGCTATCATGTGCGTTTCGCATCGCGGAAGGTCAATTTGCGACCATTTGACCGTAATTGCCTCTCATGAGCTGAACAACGCTGATATTTACCTACACAGCTTCTTCAAAACGCTTACGAACCGCACCGTGACTATCGAACTGAAAAACGATATCCGGATCCGTGGTACTCTCAAGAGCGTAGATCAATACTTAAACATCAAGCTGGACGATATCGAAGTTCTTGACTTAAATGAGTACCCGCATCTTTCTAGCGTTAGAAATGTTTTTATCCGAGGAAGTGTGGTGAGATATATTGTGCTACCACAATCTGAAGTTGATACCGGCCTACTGGAAGACGCAACAAGGCGAGGTATGAAATTACTCCTCACCTTCTTCGAAATATGGAAAAGAAGGTCACTAATAGGTCCATACAGAGGCGGCAAACCAGGCGAATAAAGCGCGATAACCGAATGTGGATAATAAAGTTAAAAGTGAATGTGAGGGAGGAAATTAAGCCAGAAGGGGATATTCTTGAATGACAGAAATGCCACACCGTTGTATTTGGATCCCGCGACGACCACAATCTCTGTACAAGCCTTGTGGTCTATGCTATCCTTTTGCCCCGGGTTACGGATAGGCCCTTTTTAGGTGCCTTTCGCTCCACCTGGTTCATATCCGCATAATAGACCATATACCGGTTTACTCAGAATCCCTTTTAATGAGACAATATGTCCTGGTAACTTCTGCATACCTGTCAATTGCAATCAGATGATTTTTCTCCAAAACATACGTATAGAAGTAGCTAGGCGGCGTATTGATCAAAAATGACCTTTCGCCAGCGCTGGAGTGCTTATATAATAACTCCAAATAAGATATTATCACGTGACATCGCGCTTCGCGTTTTTCGCGCTTCTTGATAAGATAAAATCTTCGACCGCCGAAAATATTCACGATCGTTTTACACGAATGAAGCCTTGTGGTGTAGAGGAGGGACAAAGCGAGATATTTCTCTCCCTCCTGGAGTCTGGTGTTAACCTCTACTCCTGACTATTTGTCACTTAAACCCCCGCTACTACCTAACATGCCACCAACTCTGACTTCGCCGTTCTTTCGTCCAAATGGCCAAACGGCCAAAAGACCTTCTCCGTTATCTACAGTGCCAAATAAACCGGCCCCAAAACGAAATGGGAGTATTTTGAATTTTTTTAAAAAGTCGGACGCGCCACCTAAATCTACGCAGCCCCGAATCACAGAGTACGGAATCAGGAGCAGGGGAAACTCCCAACAGCGTCCACGTCTCGAATTAACTAATGACTCTACATCCGGGTTGTTTTTCGAAGATGCGGTCTCAAACAACTCAGGTGTAGAAGAGCAAACGAAGTATTCGTCCTTCTCCGAAGACCAGCTTGAAGTACCGGATACTTTTTGGCACCTACTACCTAACGACACCGAAAACACCTATCGCGAGGAGGACAGGTATAACGAGAGCCCTAGTGCGGTGAAAAGGCGTAGAACAAGCCACGGGATTACAGAAACCGATTCTACAGGGGCTGATAGCACGATTCCTGCTGCTGTTAGCGATAATACATCCGGCCTGCTATCACCACGAACTACACCTGGAATAGGGGGTGTGAAACTATCACCCGTTACCCGCGCAAACCTCCATGGTCCATTTCTAGATGAATCTGATAGTGAAGATGACAGAGATTCGTCCTTAATTACTGATACACGAGAGTCAACCCGACAAGGAACTCTACTCAAGGGTCAAGATCTTACCTCACCCTGTACCCCACAGCTTGCGGCATGTTCCGTTCCTGCCACAGAATTGTTAGGTGAGGAGGATTCTAACGGGTTTAGTTTTCAAGCAGACAATGATTTAGAGAGAGGAGGAAAAGCAATTGATTCAAGCCACAGTGCTTCAAACAAACAGAAATTATACCCAGTAGCCGTCGAAGATGTGGGCGGTGAATTGAGTAAGGCTTTTTCTGACGAAGCGGCAGTATGCCCAATATGCCAAACCAGTCTGGGCGGCCTGTCTGATTCTGTAAGTAATACCTAATTTCATAAAGGGGACATCTATTCTTGACGGATGTTAATGCTGATTCAGGAAGCATCTCTGCATGTGAATAACTGTCTGGACGGGAATCCTAATTCGGCCATTGCTGCAGCAAAGGATAATCAGTTTAGTCAACAACCTCCACACATATTATCAAGCATGAAACGGAAAACAGCCCCTCGACCTGGGCAAAAGAATCCATTTTCTCTTGATTCGGCCTCGTTGCCCACATCTGCATTCACAAAAATTATGTCAGGAAACGAAGAAGACACTGCTTGGAGCGTGGCATCTGCTCGTGAGGAGGCATCTAGAGGGAGACAGGCCTATGAGCGGACCTGCCCATTTTACAAAATCCTACCAGGATTTTCCATAACCGTAGATGCTTTTAAATATGGTGCTATCGAGGGATGCAGTGCCTACTTTCTTAGCCACTATCACAGCGACCACTATGGTGGCCTTACATCGTCCTGGTCACATGGTCCCATTTATTGCAGCAAAATCACTGCCAATCTCGTCAAACAACAGATAAAAGTAAGTCCGGATATGGTTTTTGAACTGGAGTTCGAAAAACGAACGGAAATACCCGGGACCGATGGAGTGAGTGTCACGATGATTACTGCAAACCATTGTCCTGGCAGTTCTCTTTTTTTATTCGAGAAATCCATCGGAAACGGAAAGGCTGCAAGGGTTCATCGGATCCTTCACTGTGGTGACTTCAGAGCATGTTCAGCTCATATAAACCATCCTCTTCTCCGGCCAGATATCAAGGATCCACATACTGGCCAGTTAACCCAACAAAAGATCGATGTCTGCTACTTGGATACGACGTATTTAAACCCTAAATACGCCTTCCCGTTCCAGCAGGATGTCATTGACGCATGTGCGCAAATGTGTGCAGGGATAAACGAAGGTTTTTCTGACACGTTTGGTGCAGGGAAAGGACAAGCGATGTCAGGGTCTATGGCTCCATTCCTTCAGAGAAGCAAGAACTCGGGCCGAACCTCCGCGGAAGGCCAACGTGATCGCGGCAAACTACTTGTTGTCATTGGAACATACAGCATTGGCAAAGAACGAATATGTTTAGGTGTTGCTCGCGCGTTAAACTCGAAGATATATGTTTCGCCAAGTAAGAAACGGGTATGCACTTGCTTGGAGGATGACGAGCTCTCTAGCGTCCTTACTACGGACCCCCTGGAGGCCCAAGTCCACATGCACAGCCTAATGGACATGCGCTCAGAGACTCTGTCTGAGTACCTAAATTCCCTCAAGTCACATTTTTCCAGGATCATTGGCATCCGGCCCACCGGTTGGAGCTATCGTCCACGTGGCGGAACATGGGCTGACAATCCTACCGTCTCTTCGGTTCTTCACTCGGAGGCTTGGAAGCCTCGCTTCTCCGTCAGCGACCTTGTGCCACAGCGTGGTAGCACCAAAGAGGCTGCATGCTTTAGTGTACCATATAGTGAACATAGTTCGTTCCGCGAGCTTACGATGTTCTGTTGCGCATTGCGGATATCGCGTATCATTCCTACCGTAAACGTTGGCAACCCAAAGAGCCGTGAGAAGATGAAATATTGGATCGACAAATGGGAGGTAGAGAGGAGGAAAAATGGGCTATATAAAATCGAAGATGATGACATACGGTGGTGAATGTGCCGGCAGTCGTATCCGTTATCATAGTTTATTACATTATAGCATTTACATTGAACATCTTGAGAGGGATACCGAAATTTTTATTTAGTTATGCTATTTACATATACTTCGGTTCAACATGCTATGTCGTGTATGTACACTCAGATTCGAGTAGGAAAGTATGTAAGTCATTTGATCCATGAATTTTATGCAAGAAAAAAAATCCTCATTCATCCGGCCGCTTTGACTTTTCATCCCGGTTCAACCAAGGTGGAATCCACCAGTAGCCCTGTTCTGGAAAAATAATTTGGGGTCAACGGCACGCCTAACGGCTAAAGCTCTCGCTCTCGTTTCTGGTGCCACGCGTCCCCAGAAGTCTTGACGGGCATTCAGGTCATTCAAGTAGAGGGGCGTATATGCCTTTGGTAGCTTTCCTTCCTGGGTGTATTGCTTTATCATCTCTCCCTGGCCAGTGTAGTACTTGCGGGTTGCTTTCTCCATTACAGCATCCGACGAGGAGCTGTTCCAAGATACAGCAATCTGCAGCAGCATGTAGTCAAATTTCGGGTCAAAGCCCGCAACGTCCTATTTGAGCAATCATATTAGCACCAGGATATTATTCCTCCAGCTGCAGTCAATATTGAACTTACACCTCCCGACTCCCTGGCCTTTGTGGTAATGGACCGTGGCAACGGCTGGAGAGCAAGAGAGCTTGTCGTTCCAGGAATATTAACTATGTCATTTGTGACGTCGTCCCAATGGTCAATAAAGGATTTGAAAATTTCGTAGCCATGTGCGCCAGTGGGGTGAACACTGGTTTCGGCACCAATAGAAAACCTATTACCATGACGAATGTATTCATCATTGGCAAGCATTAGGCTATAATAGCTTTGTCTCTTCACAGTATTTCGAATATATGGGATCTGGGTGAAATTGCGGAAAACTTCCTCGGGGGGACTAGGACCGTCATATGTCAGGAACACAACCCATGTCACGGTAGGATTGCGGTTGATAGTGCCAATAATCGATGCCTTATCATCGCTATTGTACTCGGCGAAGTCTCGAATTGCCCGGGTGAGTGCCTCCGTATGTTCATCAGTATAAAACCGAGTGCCTCCCCAGATCTAATTTATATCATATTAGCCGACCATCATTTTATACGAACGGTTCTTTGATGCAGGCATAAACTCTGTACCTCTGGGTCTTGTGGATGAGTTTTGACAGTAAACGCCGTAACGATACCAAAGTTCCCAGAGCCACCCTTTAACACGGCGTACAGATCTATGGGGTGTCAGGTTCAGGTGTGTCAGGCTGCATTGGTGGTCGGCTTCTACTTACCAGGGTTTGATGTAGCATTTGCATTTACAATGGTGGCATTGGCAAGCACTACTTCAAAGTTGACAATGTTGTTTGTAGCCCAACCGTACTGGCTGCCGAGAAAACTTAGACCGCCTACATAATGTTAGTTACTGTTGAATCAAAATTGAGTAGAAACTGAAAGGGTAAGCCTACCTCCCAGAAGGAGTCCACCAACACCAATTCCACCAAGACGGCCACCCACGACTGTTTGGCCCTTGTCCTTCAGGCCGCCAACCGCCTCTTCCCACTTCAAGCCTGGCCCAAGAATGGCAGTCTGAGACTGTTCGTTGTAGGTTACTTGCTTCAGATTGCGAGTTGAAATCAACACTCCATCGTGTATACTGGAGAAAAGTTGGTTGGGCGAGTGTCCACCAGATTTGATAGCAAAACGAGTCGTGTTTGATTCCTGAATTGCCGCAACGGCCCGTGCCATATCCCGAGCATTTTTGGGAGCTATAATGCAGTCAGGGCGTAGTGCGGAGCAGGCTGTAGACCAATAATTCTGCTGTTCAGTCTCATAGTCAGTAGTGTGAGGCAGGTCTACCTCCACACCCTGTGCCAGGAGCTTCAGACAGAGCCGACTGTTCGGAAACGAAGCAGCTGCGGCCGTGGCACCAAGTAGGGCCACAACAGCTTTGAGCGTGGCTGAAGGCATGTTGTTTTTGGTATTTCTCTCTCGGGTTTCCAAATGGTGAAAGATGTACATATTCTACCCGGAGAAGGAAGGGGATTTGGGCCGTCATTTTATCCCCTTCTCTTTTCTACATGATTGCTTGCTACTTTTGCTTGCTGTGGACGTATACCAGTGGTTACCAATTTTTTTTTGTGCTTTCATTTTCTTCGATACAAAAAATCATGCCGCATCGTCTGTTTAATACCCGGTAGGCGCCACTTAGCTAGAGACATGGTGATGGCAATTACAGAGTAAATAAATGTCTTTATTCTAATGCTTTGCTCTTGCAGCGCAATTTATGCATAATTCAGTTCTAAGATTTTGACAGTTCGCTTAGAATGCTAGAGGTTATTAAATGCAATTTCCACAAAGTGAATACCATCGTTGCCCGAGTAATTATTATATACACCAAACTCCTAAGCCAGCTATCCGCACAATCAAACCCCCGCGTAACCACCAAATTTCAAATATCATTATAATCGTGTAAGGCTTGAATATATTCAAATCGAGTCCCGATAGCGATGGAAAGAACGGAAAAAATAACCAAGAACTAGTAGTCACTGTAGATGATGCATCTAGGCCCTGCTTCGAAGGACTCTTCGTCCAGGACCAGGCTGCTCTACTCCTTGGGCCTTTCTAGCAGCAGCGACTGTCATCTTTCGGGCAGTCGAGGCAGTTGTTGCTGTTGCCGTTGTTGCAGCGCGACTTCGAGACGTCACGGGTTTCTTCGTTGAAGATGAAACCGTTGTTGACGTTGAAGCCTTTTTAGCTCCAGCAGTCCTTGTAGAGCGGACAATCGTAGTTGCTGCGGTTGCTGCTGAAGCGTTCGATGACGTAGTGCTGGTACTAACTTGTCGGTTCGTTTGTCGTGTGGCTGTCCTCGAAGGCACCTTCCTTGTACCAGCCGGTGCAGATTTAACAGACATAGCCTTCTTAGGCCTGGGGACTCTCCCTGGTGCAGAATCGGAGCTTGTGTCTGGAGGAGTTACTCTGCGAACCCCGGCTGCGCCTCTCATTGTCCTGAGTCTAGGAGTACCGGGAGTGGCAGCGTAATTTGCGTTCTTTGTTGGACTAGCATGTTTGAAAGGGGAGAAGGCGCGGATATGATAGGGTTCTTGCTGTTGTGGTTTACTGGGTGACATCTTTAAAGGAGATTGGGGAAATGTCCTGGAGTTGGAGGATTTTGGCGATAGAATGTTGGACTCCGTGCGTTGGGAAACGGTGCGGGCGGATGCTGCTGGCAAAGTAGGTTTGTTACGCTGTTTTGGATTTGTGAGCGGATGGTGTGTAAGGTCTGGATACCCGACATTCTCTTTATCGGAAGAGCCATGGCTATAGATATTCCGTTAGAAACTCCATCATTTAACTGGACAAAGGGCAGATATACCTTTGACGCGACGCCCCAGAGCGCACCATCGATGTGGTATTGCTGCTTGAAGTTGCGGCCGATGTTTGTGTAATGGGGCGCACCGTCCTTATGGTTTTAGACGGTAATATCGGCTTTTTGAACGGAGACTTGGTGTCTGCCTCTTTGGCAGCTTCTGAATATTTCGCGAGTAATTCGCCCAGGTTCTGTTTGCGAAGTGCCATCGGAATTCGGTTTATACGCCGTTCAATCCTCGCTCGTAAGTCTTGCGCCTGAAGGGCATAATGTGCGCGTAGTTTACGCGCTCTTTCAGTGACTAGATGTTACTGTTAGCAGTGCATTACTGATGCCGGGTGCATACGACGCGATATCCTACTTTCTAGCTGAAGATTATCAATCAAAGCCTGCTTTTGTTTCTGTGTGATTCTTAGCTTCTTCTTCGACGGGCTCCTAGTAGGAGTATGCACTTCATGGCTCTGGTTACTTGGCTCCGGCGACTTGCGTTTCCTCGAGACGGCGGTCGACATTTCGGCGTTTAGGTCTAAGACGATGCTCGTATGACACTGTTCTTCTCTCAATGATGTATTGGGTCCAATATCGCAGTAATAGTCCTCGTCGCTGGTGTTGATGATGATGGACAAACAAAAAAGCGAAAGTCGCGATGTAAACAAATGTTGGGCTTATATAAGCATACCTGGCTAGTCCCGATTCGGAGCTTCCGCGGCGACCTTTGAAGCTTCACTTCTTGAACAACAAACGACGAAGCATTTCTCTACAGACAAATATATCCTTTTCTCTCTCGATCCTCCTTGCATAGAGCTCCTGTTGTTGTCTCCATTATATTGATTAAGTCAGATACTGCTCAAAATACCGCCACCATGTCGCTCGAAGCCACTATGATCATGTTTGTCTCGCCCAGCCATTGTCTGCTCTACAGGCGGAATGCTAATAAACTATGGAACAGTATCGATAATAGTGAAAGCAGCAGGAATGGCGACTACCTGTAGGTTATCACGGAGTTGATAAAGGCACTCGGAGAACTATACATACAACTACTGACGAGAGAACAGCCCCACAAGATTCGAAGCTCAAGCAGATGCCGTAAACATGATTCATTCCGCAAAGACACAAGCGCATCCAGAATCGGCCGTTGGTTTAATGAGCATGGGAGGGAAGGGTCCAGAAGTCCTAGTTACCTTGACCGCAGATATTGGCAAGATCTTAGAAGGACTTCACCGAACGAAGATTGGAGGAACCTCACATCTGGCCTCCAGCATACAGGTTGCCTATGTAAGTGTGTAATGGGAACATTTCATGTTGTATTAAATGTGAAACTAACCGCTGTTATTCTGTTTATTATAGCTAGCACTTAAACACCGAAAAGAAAAAGCCCAACGACAACGGATTATCGTCTTCTCCTGCTCCCCCGTTGTTGAAGACGAAAAGTCCTTCATCAAACTAGCGTTGAAAATGAAGAAGAATAACGTTAGCATCGACTTTATTGCGTTTGGTGAACTTGACTCAGAGACAACAAAGAAGCTAGAAGCATTCCACGAGGCTGTCAACAGCGGAAATGGATCAAATCTCGCAATCATACCCCCAGGCCCCAACCTTCTCAGCGATTCTATTGTGACAACTCCAATTCTCGGAGGAGATGGTACCGGTGCGGGGCGTGGCGAGGAAGGAGGTGATTCTGGGTCTGGATTTGAATTTGGTATCGATCCCTCCGCCGATCCGGAGTTGGCGTTTGCGCTACGCATGTCATTGGAGGAGGAAAAGGCACGATTAGAGAAGGAGAAACAGGAGAAGGAAAAGGAGGCTAAAGGATCGATGGAGAAGATCGCGGAAGAAGGCGGGGAGACGCAACCGCTTCTAAATGAGAACGGAGAGGCCAGTGGGAGCGGAAGCGGGAAGAAGGATGGTAAGAAGAAAGAAGACGGGGACAAGATGGACACCTCGTGATGACCGTTCAGTTGGTCTACGAGGAATGAATGTGCAGATTATCTAGACTATTGACACTCGATGGCATTCCTGGCGTTCGTAAATCGATGTATTTTACTTGATATTGGACTCGGAAGTGACCTCAAAACCGTCCAGGGCGAAGCAGAATCGGTCGAACACCCCCATATACCATCAATTGTTCATTAATTCGTATATATTTGTTTTAAAAAAAGAAGACCCCCAGTATAATGTCTATATTTACAGTCCCCTTTCCCATCTCCAAATTCTATCTCCCCCTCAGCCACGTCCCCAAATGCCGATCAAAAGACTCGCATCTCACCGGCATCTCCAGCTGATAGAACGGATTCTTCATAACATAGTCCGCATACAACTCGTATATCCTCGCAATCACATTATCCACATTAGGCATGAGCGGATCGGTAAAGAGCAAGAATTTGGTGCCCGTCACCGTTTGAAAGCAGGTTAACCTGAACCGTTCGGTCTCGAGAACTTCCAGCCCTGTCTTTGGAAGGCCTGGATTGGGCAGCGTAGAGGTCAAGGGTAGAGTTGATGCTGAAGTGTTGGATGTTGCGGGAGCAGAGTAAGGGATTATAGGGGTGAGAGAGCGGGTAATGGCATGAACGCTGGTTTACAAGACGGCCAGTCAGTCAGCTTGAGTTGAGTACGTGGGATATGTATGCGGTTGGTGTTTGGTTGGGTAGTAATGCCGTTTGCTTGCTTACCCATGAAATGTGCCTGCGAGGACGAGATAGTCGTTTGTCGAGAGCTTCTGGAGACCAGCTTGGAAGTCTCGTTGGTAGACCAGGCCACCGGCCTTGTTAATGATGACGAGGGAGTAGACAACCCTTGAAGAGAAATGGGTCAGTAATGCGAATGCGCCGCAAGCTCCTTCGAGCTATCTACCTATCCATGGCATGAGAAGGCCAACTCACATTGCGTTTAGTCCGTTTCCATTATGGTTCTTTTCCTGTTTGTTGCTATTGACGGTGTCCCCGTCGGGTGTGTCGTCGATCCCAGATACTCAGGCTCCCTCCGTCGTCCTCGTTTGTTGCAGCAGTGAATGAAGAAGCTGATAATGAAGCTGTTTTGCGTCTCTTGTTTTCCTCGCTCTTCGATGTATTGTAACGCCAGTACAAAATTACCTGACGATTGGCGGAGAGGGCGACACGTTACCGTATTGAATATTACACTATAAAATACGCCAACCCCAGCATGAATATTTTTACTTCCTTCGGATCTACAGAGTGTATACGGAGTATAACGGATGCAATATGATGATAAAGAGGGGCTCCATCTCTACAGTTTAGTGCTGTGCCCGTCCTCTGATGGCGGGGTTCTATCAACTGGAGCCGTTTCATGGGCCAGCCAAAGGGGCTATGACGATTGGCAGAGCGTGCCCGAAAAAACCGAGCGTCAAGATGCCCAAAAGAAGGCAGGAATCTAATGCATCTTTAACGCTCATCGGCACCAGGATAATCCCAGCAACTATGGAGGGCGCATCAAGGAGGAGTTTGAGGCTCAAGTCGTGCATTTGCGGCGCAGGCTTGGGGGGGAGAATCCGGCCCTGCAAGGACAGCAGAAAGGGGGGGGGGGGAAGTGCAAGCATGATTTATCATACATACGCATGGAGATGCCCCCATGGAAGAGAGGAGGAGGAGAAGAGGAGAAGAGAGGGAGATCACCTTTCTCCTCCCATGTTCTTCCATCATGCTGCTTGCATCTTGCATCTCGCATCCGCAAATTCATCGCAAGATTTCATGCAAGCCGGGGCTTATCGATAAGGCAAACTTCCGCTAATATCGTGAAATAAAAGTATGGGGCTCGCGGAGGTTCCAGGGGGGGAAAGTTCTGGGCTGGGAGCTTTGCGGATGTTGCTGGATGTCCCAGTATGAGGCCGTAGACGAAACCGTAAGACAACGATATAGCAAGCCAGGAAGTAGTTTGGTGATATCTGTCATATTATCGAGAGCTTGCACACTAAGCTTGAATGGGCGGGGACGCTAGTTAAGGATCCAAGCTGCGATTTCCAAGGAGGTGAAAAAGCTGTAGTTATTGGATGTTCCCGTCTCTGCCTTTTTTTGCTTCGCCCTGCCAGCCCATGAAGGTCCTTTGAGAGCCCTTGGAAGTCCGCTCGTCGTCTGCTTACTGCGATAGCTGCCTGCTTGTATGTATCCACTCGTACGAGGACCGTGTTCGATCATATTCACTCCCTAGCAAGCCCTGTTAGAGGAGTTTTCCAGTGAAACCAGTGTATAAAAAGACGAGCTCGTTCCCGTCAGCACCACAAGTTGATAGGTAGGGTTTCTCAGAGTGAACCAGACCGTCTCTGTCTCTGCTCTTCTTCCTTTACTCACCTGTTCACCCGCTGTCGGCTCAGTTTGCTGTTTCTTATGTGAGCAGGCTGAAGCTGAAGCTGAACTTGTCATTGCGGTTTCCTTGCACCTAACAAAAAAACAACAACAACGCCAGCTTCAGGTTCACTTTTATAGCTGGCTTTGCTCTTCTTTCAACCTTCTCTTCGGCCCCTTCATGATAGCTCTCCTGTCATGACCTTGTAATGATCTCTGGAAGAGGTTGAATTGTCATCGGAGTTGCTAAAACCAAGAGCCGGCAATCTGATTGGAAAAGGAAGAGATTAAGAAAAACACGCTGCAACTTCTCTCAGGTAGAGATCGAAGGTTATTTGAACAGCCATGTCGAACCAGGCTCTCCTTCGTATCGGACGGGTACGGTCTCCTATTTCTTCTAAGCTCGAGCTGTCCTAGCTGACATTCAGACGGGGAACATACAGGAGATCAGCCAGATCCAGCAGGGAGCAGACCTCTGTGAGTAGAGACTTCTGGGCTTCTCTCATGGCCTTGTTCATGGCCCTTTACTTCTTTTGTTCTGGTCAGTTGCTTATATCACCTCCGTTCTAGCTCTTGCCGTGGCTTGCCAGGAAGCAGACATCCGGAATGTAAAGGCTCTGATCGTTGGGCCGCCTGGGACTCCTTATGAATTTGGCTTCTTCGAGGTATGCTAGCGGATCTGTCTCTATCATTTATGAGCTTTGGCTAATGTTTACGACAGTTCTCTATCAAATTCACTGAAGGTCAGCACATATACCACATTGAGATATCATCTGCTCATATAACCCTGACCAGACTACCCTGCCAATCCACCACATGTCCAGGCAATGACCACCAACGGTGGCAGATGCCGTTTTAATCCTAACATCTACGCGTCTGGAAAAGTTTGCGTGTAAGTGTTGATACATTATTCATACGGTACAATTCTCTGATGTTTGATATAGGTCTATTCTCGGGTACTTCAGTCCCCATTCCCCCAATAACAAAGTAATACACTAACAGAAACTACCAGAACATGGGAAGGAAGTAGTGGAGAACAGTGGTCCTCAGCACAGGGACTGGAGTCCATCTTGATCTCTATCCAGAGCTTAATGTCTGCCAACCCATATGAAAATGAGCCAGGATTCGAGAACTCCAAGTCACCTAGTGATCTTAAAGCGATGGAGAGCTATATTGCTAAGGTAATGCTTCATTCTGACTAAATCTTGTTATTTTTTAATACTGACAGCCCTAAGATTCGGCATGAGAATATAAGAATATCAGTAATCCAGCACCTGGAAGAATGGCTCGGTATCCAACCTGATGGCACAATTGTGCCACCGTCTGCAGAAGGTACTACAGAAGATGAAGAAATGTTTGGAAGTGAAGATTACCAGCCTCCATTTGAACCATTCAAAGATCTCTGTAAACGACGGTTTCTCTGGTACTACGAGACATATAAGAACACTATGGCTGAAGCAGAGGCAAAAAGCCCTGTTGGTTCACGCTTCCAGAGAATGCAGTTCGAATTCACTGGGAACACGATGGACGGCCACTTCAACTATACAGAATTAGCCAAACGACTGGACGTCATCAAGGATGCTATATTGAAAGAAACAGACTCCTGGGCAGAAATGGGTCTGAAAGCAAAGAAAAACGAGTCAAGGATCGCTGTCAACCTACAACGGCAATACGAGCAGATAGTCGAGGACCTGAAAAACAAACGACACTTCACTATCGACATCTCTTTACATGACGGTAACCCCCTCGTTTGGCAGTTGACCTACTTTGGTCGGCCCATGTCACACCTCGACGGTGGAATCTTCAGAATCAAGATCGCACTTAGCCCGAATTTCCCAGACGAGCAACCTCGAGTCATTGTTCAAACCCCGTTATTCCATCATCGCATCTCAAAGGACGGCATTCTCTGCTACTTTCCAAAAAAACTAGAGGATATGAAAGCACATGTCGAGGCGATCCTCGAAGCTTTGGAGGACGAATCTCCTCCATATGATCCCCGGGCAACTGTGAATCCGGAATGCTCCAAGCTCTTCTGGGGCTCTGTAGAGGACAAGAAAAAGTACAACCGCATGTTAAGACGATCAGTTCAGCGCAGCATAGAGTAAGTGCCTGCTTTATACCTTTTCTGCTCTTATACTACTATCGAATTGAAGGTTAACTACAGTATAGAGAATGATATCGTAACCGTAACCCCTCTTAAAACGACTTTAAATACTTCTGAGGTCTCAATTTCGGTTCTTTAGGTCTAAGTTACATTTTACTATTTGTTTGTGACTTCTACGACATCGTCACTGCGTTGTATTTAATGGCTTTGTTCTAGCGTCTGAACTCACCACACACACTTCTTTTCGAGATGTCTGTTAACTCAACCATTTGTTTATGAATCCATGTTAGCACTTATTTGCATATTCCTCCCCCAACAGGCCTCTGGCCATCGAAGTCGGCCTGTCATTTTAGTATATTTTTCTATCTCTCGACTACCTGATAAAAAATGAGTACGACTATATATCTATAATGGCGAAGTTTATGGATGATATGCATCATAATTAGTAGGTTTGGGAGAATATATTAGAAACAGATATATAATATGGCATTAACAAGGACTATACGAATCAATAAATCACAAAAAACATAAGGCAAAATAACATATGAACACAACTTTTGTTTCCCCAATAACTAGTATCTGGGGATTGGCCTGACAACTAGTACTCCAGTTTTCCATTTTGTAATGCGAGCGCTAAGAGTATGGAACCAAATTTTTGCATTTGCGATTCATTTGTAATATTCCAGGAGTACAACTCGTACATCTCCATTAACGCAACTGCGGGGCCGTTTGATGGCTTATTATGAAGGTAATCAACGTAGCGCTGGTCGTATTTGGCGATAATAAGTCGAATATTCTCACGCTCTTGAATTATCATAGGCCGTCTGGGTATTATTATTAGCTATATATCCTCTATGTTCACCTGAGTATTACTTACCGGTATGGTTGTTTGGCTCCTGGTGGATCTGGTTCCTGGAAGATCCATGCCGCCATTTGGGCAGTTGCCTGGTAGATGACCCTGTTATTATACTCTCGGCTGGTAGGTTTCACCTCCACAATAATAGCAGATGGTTTCACATCCTTTGACCCTGGGTTCCATGAAGCTAGATGACCATCGGTCCTGGCCTCGAAGAGATAAGGCTTATCTGCGTTGCCTTCTTCAGCATCCTTCTTTCCAAATTTGAATCCCTTTCGGACTGGTGACCATTGGAGTTTAACGCCGTTGTGGTACATGCAGATAGAGGCCAGGAGAGCAATGAGGAAACCGTTAACGATTTGCTCGTCTTCAACTTTAGGGAAAGCCCTACGAGCCGAACGAGGGCTATATTTGTGTTCATTGCTGGTCGAGTCAGACTTGTGGGTCGCGTCGGATTTGCTGGATAAACTCTGCGATGGGCTCTTCTGTGACTCTTCGCCAGTCTTCATATGACTGAACGTTCTGGTCAAATCCTCCATGGTTGAATCTCTCGCAGCTCTGTCAAAGTCTGAGTGGTGAAAAAGTCCATCACTGCGCGTAACCTGGCCTGGTGGTGTCCTGTATCCCTTTTTATCCAATGGACTAGATGATCGTTCTTCTCCATGTGAGGGCGTCTTTTTATCCAACGGGCTGGATGATTGTTCTTCTTCATGTGGTGGCGCCTTTTTATCCGATGATCGAAGTCGGCTAGCTATAGGGCTAAAGGAGACATTTTTGTCCTCCGCTTCCCCTTCATCGTATTTTATTGGCAGACTGACTACTTGTTGATGAGTGAACCAGGTGTATGCAAATGTGCCAAGTCTGGGAGGCGGAGCGGAATAGGTTGTAATGGGTGACAGATTTTGAAGATATGCCAACCAATCTTTGTTTTCGTTAAGCCACTTTTCTGACTCGTTGACCCTTTTGATTCCCCATTCCTTGGGATCCTTTGATTTGATTTTACTGCGTATAACCCAGAAGCTTCGAAGAAGGAGGTATTGGGCTGTACTGATTTTTGATGCGGAATCACAAGTTGTGCTGTGAATGCTGGCTTCTCCAAGACTATGTTGCTTGACAAACTCAGTCCAATCCCTCCTGTCTTCAGGGAACTTAACGATATCAATCGACATAACGGGGTAATCCTGTGGATCTGGCTTCGGGGGGGTTGTGATAATGTAATAATCTTTTGGTCATGGCTTCAAGAAATTGTGACATGAACTGGTTCCATATCACATCTTAAATAGACTTCCCACACCTTGTAGGTATATTGGATAAGTACTAGAGTGGTTAATGTAAGGCTTGTTACGCACCATCCTTGTAATTAAGGCCATGCCCGTGTTTTGCCCTGGTACAGTAGCTTCAGGCCTCATTGGCCAGGGAAATATCACGCAAACCGCCCCCACTGGAGAACCAACAATTAATCATACAGGTGCTCAAATGATAGGAGGAAACTCGCAGCGCAGTTTTAAGGAGTTCAAAGAATGTATCAATAGCGGCCAGTGGGCGTAGTTTCGTTCGATAACAGAGGCTCCATATAACCCGCGCCATAAATAGGTGAAACTTTGTTGGGTTGGCGCTTAACAAGGGTTGGAAAACTAAAAATACAATTGGAATATGCAATGAAAACCAATGAATACCTATATGCGAGTCGGATCCCAAACAAAGTTAGCGCCAAAACTTGATAACTCGTCTCTGCTGCCTTGGGGGCCAAAGTGCAGAACTCCTTGGCAGTTAGTAAGTTTGCTATAGTTTTGAGGCTCGGCGCTTAGTTTAATACCTAACGGTTAGTACAGCGAACAAAGTAAATTTGCGCGTATCACGTGATATAACTAAGGTTGTTTACAAACGCGAAGGCAACAACATCGAATCTTGCCACGAACAATCCAGACACAGAACCGAAAACTATCAAGACCAGAGCAACCACCCTTACACTAGAAACATTAGCCATGGAAGATCCTATCAAACTAAATACGGCAATCCTCAATACACTGATGGACCACAAATATCATGTCACTATCAAGCTCAAGACCATTATCAAACGTCTCAAACCCGCAATAGACAAGAATAGTATTTACTTGTCAGACGACCAGCTGCAAAAGTACGGTATAAGTAGATCGAGAATGGATTTAGAGAAAGGGGGGCGCTTTTTCAAACCTCTTTCACAGCCATACTTTGGGTCTTTGGCTCGTCACGAAGAGTTTTATGAAGTGGGTGAATGGGAAGCCGATCCGGATGAAGTAGATGATGCAAAACATATATGTTGGAGATTAGAGCAGCTTATTCAATCAGAGATTCCTGATAGTCCAAAGGATAGGTTTGGTATCCCTCAGGCATTTTACGAATATACCTCATGGGGCCCGACATTGTAAGTGAGCATTCCAGCCTTTATACACTGGTTATTAATATTTCTTACTTTTTAGTCTTAAGCGATCCCTTTATGGTGGCCATTGGGGACGTCGTGAACCAGGTAGAGAACCAACAGACTGGCGCTTTGAACGCGGTTATGACAGACAGATGCGAGGCACTTATCTTGAGCCACACGTTATTTCTTTCTCGGCCCATGGCTTGTACCCAGACGAAAGTACAGACTCGAAAATAACTCGAAGTGAAATCCTAGTGGCTGCGGATATTATGAGGTATAGGCTTAAGATGAACGTTTTCATTACCAATGACATATACCCTGTACGATAAGTCCTTGACACGCTGCGATCATATCGTTTTGAACTCCGAAACTAACTATTTGTATATAGATCCTCATGGTTTCTTGCTTCAACCGACAAGTTCGCATGAACGAAGTTTATTTCGAAAATGAAACTCTGCACTTCAACTGTACGCCATTTATTGACCTGAGCACTTTTGAGAGATCTAAACTCGACCTATATGCACGCTGGGGTTTGAGTGACCCTGTGGGCCAAACTAGCAGATATCCAAAAATCAAACCATCGGCAAATACAATCATCAATTATTTCAACGAAGAGCTCTATAGGAAAAAACAAAAATCGAAATCTCGCTCGGATCTGCCTGAAGCTCCAGTGCTTAAGCGTATTCAGGAGCTTAGGGGGAAATAGAAGGTTCATTCAGCCTTTCATATGGGCCTATTTTTTTCTCTCCATTTTTGTTTAGCTGATTATCTTCTATCTTCTTATTTCTTGGCTAAAGGGTAGGATTCGGCGTGGAGCCTTTGTTGCTATCATTATGCTATTGAAGGTCTTGTATAGATTTATCTGGATTACGAGCTTTTAATACAGTATTTACGGACGTTATGTCAAGAAGAAATCTAGCTTTTCTACATATTTATAATACCCTAATTAGATTCACACTACAAACTTGCAACTAGCAAAGGACCTATATGCACTCGCTTAGAAAACTGTAACCATCCTTTACCCCTTTCATGGCAACCGGATCCTTCTTGCTTGATGGATATAGATCAAATAAGTGCAAGGCATCCTCTATAACTACCAGCCCAGCTGGCACGCCCACTTCTTGAAGAGCTTCATAACATTTTTGAGATGACCTACATGGAACTAAGTCATCACGGGTTCCGTGTATAAAAAAGGTAGGTGTTTTATAGTTGCCTGCCCGAATCTGTGCTAGTGGGCTGATTGCTTGAATCTGTTCTGTAGATGGGAATGGAGGGTTTGTCACGGATTTTATACTAGTGCGTTTAAGCCCGTTAATGAGCACGGGTAGGCTTTTGCCCTCCCAGTTCATATGGAGAATGATCCTACAACGAGGGTCATCGAGTGACATCCAGCCACCCAAGGCACGCCTGGAAACTCGTGGTGTGTATCCAACGACAGGGCTATCGTGGAGCCCATTATACAGAAAGCTGTAGCCATCTTCGGGTGGTGGAGTAGACTTTTGGCCAAACGGTAAATTTGGAGATGACCAGAAAGGATCTTCATAATCGGTTGGGCTATAGAATGCTAGAACTGCATCTGGAGGCTTGATCCCCAGTGAAGGTGAAGTCCATCCTAGTGACATGGCAAGATGCCCACCAGATGACCATCCGATAGCCACCACCCTATCTCCATCTGGCCGGATGTCTCCTCGACGGAGGGGTAGAAAAGGCAGAGTCTTTCGTGACCAGTAGAGTGCATCACGGACATCCTGCATAGCTCCTTCACGGATCGTAGTTTCAGGGCACAGCCTATAATCAATGCTCACGGGCAGAAAGCCGGCTTTTAGAAGGATCTCAGTCTGATCATCGCGAATATCTTTTCGAGTATATATGACGTGTCCGCCGCCGTGTATCATAAGGGCTAATAGTATGAAAATCAGCTTTCTAGGATTAGTCTTAAAGGAAGAATTCGTTCTACCCACCGATTGGCAGGGGCATATGACTCTTGATAGGGTCCGTCGGATAGTAGATATCCGCTGACAGAGCAATTCCATCTCGTTCAGCGAATACAACTGTTTCTATATCAACTTGGGTAGGATAACAATTGATTTTTGAAGACGAAGGAGGCGTTCTAGAGCCCGTAAGGAGTTGAGCAAGCCCTTGAACGTCGGCGATGGCGGCGAACTCCGCATGGGAGATGGATACTCCAAATCTCTTGTTCATCTCTGAAAAAAGCTCGGTGGCTAAAAGGGAATCTATCCCGAGATCTTCAAGTATTGAACCTGGCTCAATTTCTTCAATGGGGATTTCTAGAACGTCAGCCAACATGTCTTTTATTTTATCCACAAGCTGGTGTTTTCGGGTAGCTTTCACTGGATGGTGCAGAGTTCCGTCAGGTGAGGGGTTGGATCTCGGGGTAGAAACTGGAGTCAAGGTAGAATTATTGACTAACGATTCATTCTCTCCTGGAAGAAGTTTGGAGAGCCCCCAGACATCGGTAACTGTTGCGAAATCTGACTGCAATATTGACAATCCAAAACGCTTGTTGATCTCTGAAAACAGCTCTGTAGCAAGTAACGAATCCACACCAAGATCTTCAAGAGTTGAATCGGTTTTAATCTCTTCAACTGGAATCTCTAGAATATCCTTCAGCATATCTTTAACGTCGTATAAGGGTCCTAGAGAGTGTTGAGGCTTTTCAGATGCCCCATGTAGAAGTTGAGGAACCGGCGAAGGTACAGCTGTAGGAAGAATAGGGGTAGAGATTTGCTTTTTGTCTGCTTGGTCGGAGCTATATTCTGTAGAATCAAGCTGAATAGGAGCCTTTTTGACGGTGACTTTCTGGTTAGATCCATTCTGCATGGAGGCCGGTTGATTGTTCAACTTTCCAAGAACCTTTCTCAAAGACTTGGTTGAAACCCTTTGAAATTCAATTGACATAATAGTGAGAACAAGATCCCCTGTATCTGGCTCAATTATAAAAATGTTGCACTTCAACCTTTTAGGGGAGGGTATATTAAATTTGGAATAAGCAATCCAAGTTTTATTCTCTTCTCTAGCACTTGCAATGAATCTCTGAGTGAACACCATGTCTTCAATATAATTGCACACCCACATCTCACCATCGTCGGGAAGAGAAAAGCAATTTGCAAGTATGCCTGAGACTTGAGAGAAGCTGTCTATCAGCACTGGGTCACAGAAACTAGTTCCCATTCCTCTTGGCCGTGTAAAGGGTAGAGCTACTCTGGCAGCTGCCTCATTTCCTTGACTATATATGCTTTGGATACCATGATAGTAATCAAGGTAAGTCACTACCCGACGCATGGCTTGATAGGCAGTAGGGCCTTTAAAGCCAATTGATGTAGGAGAGCTTTCAATTTCTTCACATCGGCGAAGCATGAGGCTTTGGAGAGCCTGTAAATGATTAATGGACACTGGGATGTCCGGGTTGGAAATTGTAACGTAGCCCGTACTATGGGTAAGCGAATTGTAGTCGTCGATCTTAGAAAAGATATCAAAGTCCCAAGACCCCAATTTTAATTCTCTCCTCACGAGTTTTAGAAGAACTTTTCCGGTCGGATTGGCTATCAGAGGCGAGATCATGGCCAATTTTGATATTTGCGGCATGTAACCAGTTTCAGCATTCGATATCATGAGAGATGCAATGAGAACGAACTCAGTATACATTGAGGCCGGGACAAGAGTTTGGTCGACAAATATGTGGCCCCTTGTATTGCTTTGATAGAGGTCATGACTGGGATTGATTTCGAAAAGAGCTTCACCTTGACTAGGATTATGTGAGAGCAGCGTAACCAAGTCTGGGTTTGAAGCCATAGGTGTAGAGGTTGTAGTAGAAATTTCGACAAGCGACGCTCTAGGTTTATAGTCCACCCAGTGGCTTGTCTTTGCAAACTGATAAGGAGGGAGGTTTATCCAGTTGAATGAAGTGTGCTGGGAACGGTGGAATGGCCAGAATTGTACTCTCATGTCGTTAGACCATAGCTGACAGATGGCTTTTGTGAGGTTGGCAAAGGCATCTAAACTTTGGAGAGCTGTAGGGATATATGTATGTTGATGCATTGAATTAACACACTTTTTAACCATGGGTATAATTGGTGACCCTGACCCTGCTTCTAGCCATATTATGGGACCATCAAACTGCGTTTCGACTCTCCTGACGGCGTTCATAAAATAAACAGGCATGCGAGTGTGCCGGGTAACCTTCTCCGCAGTTATACTAGACCAGTCATCTTCATTAGAGCATGCCTCAATAGGAATTTTGGGCGCTTCAAAATGAAGGTTGCCCATATCTTGAAGAAAGATAGGGATGATCGCATCAAGTAGCTGGGAATGAAATGCATGGCTATTTTCCAAACGTTTAAATTGGAAACCGGCTGAAAGGCTTGCAGCGGTACTTTCAATAGCCTCGATGGATGCTTCGTCACCAGCAATAACAAAGCTGCGAGGCCCATTATAGCATGCAATATCTGCTACAAGGTCCTTAGTTTGCTGCCGAGCGAGGAGAAGAAGTTGATCTACATCTAGTTCATCGCCCTTAACTGCTAGCATAATTCCGTTTTCAGGACCGCAGCGTTCCTCAACAAGCCTAGCACGGGTGGACACGAGCCTGAATGCATCAACTAGAGAGAGCGAACCAGCCACACAGAGAGCAGTTAGTTGGCCAAAGCTATGACCAATGAGTTTATCAACTTTTAAGCCTGAACTTAGCCATGACATGGCACATGCATATTGAACTGCGAAGAGGGTGCAATGGAGCTTGATAATATCATCGATGGGGGTGGCATCAAATATTTCTGGGAATAGGCTAGGGAGAGACAGTTGTTCCACTAGAACTGACTCGCACTCATCCTATAAGCAAATTAGCATATTGAAAAGGAAAGAAAATTGCTTTTGATTAGAGCTTACCAAATGGCACTGTAGAAGAGCGCTATTATCATACAGCTCTTTTGAAATATGTGCTCTTCTGCCATTCTGTCCACCAAAGCAGACAACGACAGATGATTTTCGACGTGGGAGTTTTTGTAGTTCAATAGCGCCAGATGCAGCGTTTTCAAGCTGCTGGGAAAGATCCTCAATGTTGGCACTACCAAAGATCAGCATATTCTCAAAGTCCCTATTTTGCTTTATCGCTAGGTTATATGCGACATCGGCTAGGCGTTTCCCACCGAGAGATGCTTTGAGAATGTCACAGTAGCAGCGCACTGCTTCTGCCGTCTTCCCAGAGATAAATATAGGGAAATTGGTTATCTGAGTATACATTTTGGGAGTGATTGCTCGCTCCTCAACAACCAAAGCAGCATTATTCCCTCCAGCGCCATAGTTATTAACTAGAGCTATGCGTTTAGCGATCTTCCACTCTAGAGATTCCGTTGGTATCAGAACATGGTCTTTACCCAGAGGTTCAATCTTTGGATTAAGACTCTTAAAATTGGCCAACTTAGGTATCATCTGGTGTTGAAACATTAGAACTGTTTTTATCAGTGAGGCTACCCCGGAGGATGCCTCAGTATGACCAATATTATCCTTGACAGAGCCAACATAGACATTATCATTTCGGTTAAGTCCTCCAAAGGTCTTTCGGATGCTCTTGAATTCAATTGGGTCACCGACTTGCGTGCCAGTGCCATGTGCTTCCACATAAGTCACATCTTTGGCAGCTACTCCGGATCTGGCCAAGGCCCTCTGATAAAGAGAGCATTGAGATGGCCCATCGGGAACAATTATAGCGGAGTCATTTCTTCCCTGGTTCACGGCAGACCCAGTGATAACACCAAGCACAAAGTCGCCGTTCCGCACTGCATCCCTGAGCGATTTCAACACAACAATGCCTATTCCCTCAGCACGGCAATATCCATTAGCATCTTCGTCAAACGCTTTAGATGCTCCCGTAGGGCTGAGGAAACCGGCACCAATCAGATTTTGTGTCATTCTGGAACTGGTCATGGAATTAGCCCCTCCCGCCACGGCAACAGAGCAATCCTTCGTTTGAAGGGCCTAGGGAAATTAGTATTTGGAAACTGATCAAACAATATATGATTATTAGTTAAACTAACCTGGCATGCGGCATGTATTGCGACCATGGAAGCAGAGCATGCTGTGTCTATTACCATTGATGGCCCTGTCAAACCAAGGCAATGGCTGACACGACCGCTAATGAACGATCTCAAGGTTCCAGTGAGGGAGAAGGCGTTCACAGGATGTGAGCACACGTTATCCAAGTAATCATCGTTAGCTGAACCAATATAACATCCAATTTCTGTGTCGAAGCCATCGGCATGAAGGCCGTAATACCCAGCAGACTCCATAGCTTCATAGGCGACCTCAAGGCACAGTCTTTGCTGAGGGTCCATGGACTTTGCTTCTCGTCCAGAAATACCAAAGAAACGGTGATCAAATAAATCTAACTGGCGGATGTAACCTCCCCAGAACGGGCCTTTTGGTTCACGAACGAGTTCAGATGGATCGAATCTGTTTTTAGGCATTTGTCTGACAGCACATTTTCCATCCCTAATCAGATCCCAGAATTCATCAATAGAATCGGCGTCGGGATATCTGCAGGCCATGCCAATCACTGCAATTGCAGATTCAGGTATAACGTCCGCATCTTTGAAATCCAAACCCTTCGGGACCGGCTCGGTGAATGAAGAAACCTGAAAATCTCCATCAAATGTTTCATAATCTTCTTCTTTGGGATTCACTGTTGCTCCTTGTACTCCAAAGCTCACAGGTTCATTGGTATCAGCCGTTTCTCCAACGATGATGGCTACAAGCTTGATGTTCAGCATTGTCGCCAAATTTAGTAAAGGTTTTACCATCAGATCCCATCTTGATGGATCAGTCAGGATCGAGCGTAATGCAATGTTATGTAGCGCGCCCTCCGTTATGGTTGTCCCTGAGATGTTGGATAAGAGGAAGGCCTTCACGGCATCGGCGCTTGGGAGTCGAAAACGGTTATCCCGCTCACAGAGAGCCGAGATGGCTTGGGCTCCATTAAGATTATCTCGGTGATGCCATCTTCCCCGTAGTGGAAGCGAGATGGATGACGCATTTTGTGTCAAACGTTGTACCCTGGGGCCAAAATGGCAAACTCGTGCCATGAAGTCAGACGAGTCATCTGCTTTGATATCATGTTTCGCCAGATCTACTATAAGCGACGCTAGATCGGTTTCTGGCGCGGTGATGGTCACTCCTCCTGCATAACTGATGCAAGAGATGTACGCCTTTTGACTACAATCAGTGATTATCCCACGGCTATTATAGGAATAGGGAGAGGGGGAAAAAGAATGAAAGTGCTAACCTTGGGGTATATATCTAGTATATCCTTTAGATCCTGAGGCTGTGTTGCAGAACCCTGTCTAAATGGAATGGCGGATACGGGGCCATGACCGTTTTCGAGGGCATCCGCATCAACTATTGCTCCCATGCACAAGGCGAGTCTCACAGCTTTGGGAGCGAGCTCTCGAAAGTCTGCCTCACTCTTTGAGCAGGAAATCACAATGGCTGTCAAGAAACCAAGACCGAAACCTTGAACATCCACTAAATGAGATGTATTGCCGAACCCGTGATTGAACTTCCTGAGATAACCAACAATCTGAATAATAACGCTTAATGGGCTTTGGAGGAGGTTGCTGATGGGCTCTGTTAAAACGGTGAGCTGGCCTCCCTTGAAGAACCGGCAGAGCTCTGTCAATTTCTCCTGGGCAGGAAGTTTGCATAATTGTGGCATAGCTTCGACAATGACAGGCCATAGTTCCGGGAGCTCGAATATTGCATTTAAGAGGAAGACTAGCCCAGGCGTCTCTCTTAACAAGGTGCGACTTTCCATCATCATCTTAGAGGTTATCATTCCCTGAGGTCTAAACCAAGCTGAGCAAACCCGCCGGTTGCCGTCACTGCCATCTTCCGTATTCTGCATGTTTATGTGGTATAGAGCTGAGGCAGATGGAGGGGCTGGCAAGAAATTGAAAGGTGTTGCGGGGTAGGATGCAGAGGGTATTCTGACCACATATATAGAGGAATAAATAGGCTGAAGCTCTCACAGCATGGACACGAGCGATGGCTCCCCATCGCGGCATTGGTTAGTCCCCACCACCGATTCAAGCCATCGTGCATTAGTATTACCAAAAACAACCGTCCAAATCCTCCCTTCGGCTCCTACAAATTATAAAATGACAAACGGAATGCATGCTAGACAAAGAGACCAGCAGAAGCAGAACTAGGGGGAAATTATATGAAGGACCTGGCTCCATTTCTCATCTCCGGTATTAAACTATTCTCAAACCGAAAAGATGTTGTGTTAGTGTCCTTTATTGTCTGTTGTACAGATCGCATGATATCTTAATACTCGAGATAAGCAAATTAAACAAAAATAAGAATGCGGAACTCCACCGCAGATCTACGTTTAACGCCAGTCAAAATAGGGTTAGGGTTATGCGGGAGTTCCCGCGTGTATAATTAGATCAAGTGACTTGTCAATATCAGCTGTTATTTAGTTTTATTTGATTATCTTCCCACTCCGCAGTTAATGGGTGACTAGGGTTTGGCGCGGGGTTTTTGTTATTATTGCCTTATGCTGTACTAAGATCTTTATAGGTGACGTTAGGGTTTCCCGGTATAGTCATGCAGAGCAGTAGTTATCTATAACATAAGGTAGGAACGGTAAAATGAATGATAAAGATCTAGTTACTTCCACTACTACAGGGAGTAGGCTTTCCCAACAGTGAAGACTGGGCCAGGAAGACGATCGTTCTATGGCGAACAGACACTTAAGGCAGCAGACAACAAAAATCTCGACATAGCAATGAGTGCCGGAAACAGCAGCGCTAAGATTTGATCCACTGTTTCATGTACGCCCCGTATCCTAATTTCAGTATACCTATTTGTCTCCCATATACTCGAGACATAATACTTAACCTCCTTGCACTGTTCAACTCGGGCCCGATCATCGTAGAAATGTGCGGAACTTTTCAAACATATCGGAGCAAGATCTTGTTTCCAATGTGTGAAACATGACTGTCTATTTGTAAAGCTGAACTGATCTAGTTGCTTTATTGCGCTTATGGCTGCTATAGCTAAGTCGATGGTGAGTTGGTTCCCACGTAATTTTACCAATGAATCTGAGGCGATGATTGGTTTTCGTGCTGTAAATGTTTGGATAATAACTATAGGCGTGGGATGGCGCAGAGGCCATAGCAGAGGTATGGGATGGTATTAGTTAATTGTGCAGCAGTAGTTTGAGCTGGAGAACTTGGTCTCGTAAGGTCAGAAGCTTTGAAGTCGAGTCAGGCATTCTGGGAGGGTTGTTTGTACGAGAGAGAGAATGAGATACTCTGAGTGCGAAAGACCTCTTCAAAAGAGCGAGTCGTCCTTAAGTGACTGGATTATAAGAAAAGGCAAATTGTCAGAATCTTCCACCCGCCGGTAGAGAGACTGGTTACATTTGACACAAATCAGCCTTATGACGTCATCGTCGATAGTCTAAATAGAGTTTCCCACGTGACAGAGCTAGCAGTGTGAAGTTCCGTATATGGTTAGCGTGTGCTTAAGTATTGCTGACTCATCCGCAGATTCACTGTGAGGACGTTGACTTTCAATATATAATAAAATCTCAACATTGAATACCACCAGTATTGTCAGTAATCCGAGTACCAGATCTTACTGGCTTATTTCCAGACCTAGCAATCCAGTTTCTTGAGGTCACATATATATGCCTGTAGCCCCGAGGACCTCGCTATTCTTTTTTGAATGACTGACACGGTTTAAGGAAATGCGTCGTTAGGTCTTCAATACTGAACTGGTTGTTCAAGTCTTGGAGTATATTCACATTTACTTTCAAGACTACACTTAAAGTTGAACAAATAGAAATATTATTTTATCAAAGGAGAGAATCATTAATGCTAAAACAAAGACCAATGCAAAATTTGTGACCACGAACCACTTTTATATTTTTGGCAGTCCTTCAACATCCTAGGCGAATGGGGTCACCCCACGCTGCCAAATGCTTATACGTGGAACAAGATGCTGGAAATGACGTTCATTCTCTCGAAGTAACATGGAGAGATCGCAGACACGAAGCAACTCGAACTCGGCGGGTAGTTTTCTACCGTTGGAAAAGCTTGTTACGGACGACTCGGATGCCTTTGCATTGATAAGAAGTTCGTCTGAAAGAAGCACTAATCCGCCTGGACGAACAATAGCATCAGGCCCGGTCATGCGTGCGATGAAGGCATCTGGGTCAGACAGACGGCTCGGTGGAGCGCCAGCCAGTAGCACTGCATCGAATTCAGTAAGGTCGGGTGGAAGATTGCAGGCGTCAGCCGTTTGAAAGGATACACGCTCCGGGCGTGCTGCCGTGTCGAGTCGTGCACACAAGTTTGTAGTGCGTCCACCGTTATCAGGGCGCTCATACATTCTGCTCCCGGATCGAGCCATGGTGTTGGCCGCGCTGATGAAAGCCTGGTTCTGGTCAACGCCGATGACACTGTCAAAGTACTTGCTCAGCGCGAAGGTCGTGCCACCAACGGCGCATCTTGCATCAAGCGCAGAGTGAAGCTGTAGGCCCTGGGCCCGAGCCGTATCGACAAGTAGCTCGACTACTCGGTTCACGTAGTTGTGAGACAGGTTTAGTCCAGCCGTATCTGGTACGGCAGGGCCAAGGGTCTCGGCCATGGAACCGTAATGTAAGAGCATGCGTTGATTGAGCTCACGGCGGGTATCGGCATCGATGTCAGTTTCGGCCACGACTTCGTTACGCGCAGCAGCCCTGGTTGGCTTCTTGATCTTGCTTCCGGCAGAGAGAGCAATTCGGATGCCAGAATGCTGTAGGAAGTGAGGTCTGAATGGGATCCTGCCCCAGACACTGGCTTCGTCACCCGTGGCAGCAAAGGCACCGCCTAGCAGGAGCTGATGCTCACCACCGTAGAATGGGGTGCTAAAGTCCTCATAGTAAGGGTGCACGGCAAAGCCGGGCAAGGGGCCGAAGGCGTCCTCGCACCATTGCCAGACGTTGCCAAAGACATCCCCGAATCCCATAGTAGTTGGTGGAGAGGCGTCTGTTGGCGTCTCCGAGCCAAAGGCAAAGTTGAGGTTGATACCCTTGCGAGCAAGTGCATGGCCGTCCATGCACATAACCGGGTCGTCCTTGGGGCTGGGGTTTTCCGGTAGCGGGTCTCGCATGCGGTGATGCTCGACTTCAGTGATGAGTCTGTATGAGCGACCGCTGCGTTTGCTACGCCAGGTGCAGTACGCCTTGGCCTCGTGGTAGTTAACACAGACCGGCCAGTCCCAGGGCATGGTGACTTCTTCGAAGATGGTTCGCAGACGGTAGGTGTGAAGCCCTGCCGGCCCATCTCGCACCCAGAAATGAGGGTGTTTGGTGTTGTTCAGACGTCTCTGGCCCCATCCGCTCTCAGACCAGTACAGCTGCTCACGGTAACCACCGTCAGCCACAAAGTCGTAGAACTCGCCGTTACTGATCAAGTACCGGCTCGCCTCAAAGGCATCAACGCTGACACGCTGATGGCCGTACTCGTTGTCCCATCCGAATGACGGAAAGTCGTCTGGCTTTCCCATCACGACCTCTCCGGCCGGAACGCTGACCATGTCGTTGTCTGGCACAAGGCGCTCCTCCTGCGAGGTACGGGCAGACGTCGACGGCGCAGGCCAGGCTGGATGACGAGAGAGCAGATCGACTGGGGTCTCTCGGATGAGGACTGAGCTGGTGTCCAGATGGATTCCATCGTGTTCAAGGCCAAGGACAATCGCCCAGGCTCTGTCGTTCATGTTGACCGGCCGTCCCAGCTCAGGCGCCCATTTGGTGCTGGCGATAACATCACAGACGACGGTGTACACTTGGGCTCTGTAGGCGTGGACTTCATCCAGCCCCGGCCACTCGGTCTCGTCTGTCGAGAGGTCATCCCAGGAGTTCTCGTCCACGCCGACCTCGAGCAGGGCCTCAAAGTGGGTGTTTATGGGACTGTCGACGAGCCCAGCGACCCTTAGCTTGTTGATATACACTGCCGCCGTGTGGCCGTAGTAGAAGATGAGTGGATGCCGCAGCTTATGGTCTGGCTGGCGATAAAAGGCCGTCCTCGTCCGCAGGCCCGCAAAGAGCGTCTCATACAAGGTCCACGTATTGTCGAAATACTCCAGCACCTCCGCTTGGCCACAGGTCGCCAAGTTGGGCAGCGCCAGCTTTGCGATCACTCCGGCCTCGTTAACTCCAGGGCAAACCCCCGGCTGTGGCGCCTTGCCAGTGAACCATCTGTCGTCCTGGAACAAACTGTGTGGCGCTGTCTTCGCGTTTACTGTCGTCGTATGGCGCTCCCATTTGGCCTTAGCCGCCGCAGCGTTGGCGCCGTCATTATCAACGATTAGATCGGCCACCGGTGGCATACTCCCGTCTCTTATTCTTTTCTTTTCTTTTCGGCTGTCTGTTTATGGCAGGATATCTAAAGGAGGTACAGGGAGTAACTTGCTCTGCCCCTTTATTATAGATTCATCTAATTCATTTTATAGCAAGCCCTCTTGGTTGTCATAGGAAGACAGACACCCCCCGCCAGACCTTGGCGATTCGAATGCCAACCGCCCTGATTCTCAGTTGTCATCCTGTATCCTCTCATGGGAGTTCGGTTGCAGCAAGCAGAAGCTGGCTGGCTGGCTGGCTGGCTGGCTGACGAAAGGAGAGGGGGGGGGATAGCTTCACCCCAGCCGATTGGACTGTTTGATTCCCGACTGTGAGGGGGAAGAAAGGGGCATCGAGTATCTCCTGTGAGATCGTTGACGTTTTGGTGGCTGGCTGAGGGAGTATCATCTCTACCTGAAGGACAGACTCTACGTATGCCCCATTTCTACCTGCATCAATTGTTTGACCGCAGTACGGGGTACAGATCGGGTAATAGGTAGCCAAACTGGCCAGTTGGGACGACTATCGAATGCACGAAGACGGCCGATATCTTGAAGGTTCATGCGTTGGCTTCGATTCTCTCGCAGGGTTTATCATCTTCCTGCAATATCCTTTTCGTTGCATGAGTTACATAAACTAACTAGCTAAACAACAGTTCACCGGCCGAGGGGGTTACATACACATACGTATGATCGGCCGTGAAGAAGAAGAGATGGAGACACACCGAGTGACCTGCCAGGATGAATATCAATCTCTATCAGTACAGCGGGATACATCTTCCGCTTATTCATGCAGTCGAAAAAAAAAAAAAAACACGTAACGACCCCTCAGTATTCGATATTACCCCCCTGGATCATGCTGAGACCTGTACAGAAACTGTCTTCATCCCTGCAGTTGGAAAGTTAAGTCATGCCGGCGGCCTTATCTCGCACGCCCATATTTCATTATATATTGAAATGGTTCAATCTTACACACATGTTTGGCGGGAACTGCATCACTTTACAGCATACAAATCGATACATTTTTATTTTTTTGTTGACATCTTCGATCTGCCATCGCCGTGCAGGTCGTAATCGTTAGGCGACCGGCTTGTTCTGCACCATGGCTCCCCACGCGAACAAACCTAAGACTGGTATCGAGTCCAACTCTACGGCCAGTACTGAGGGGTCGACGGCTCTCCATGCCTTGTTGAATCAGTATCCCAGCATTTGCTTTCTCCGCTGCCAGTGGCAGGATTATTCGGGCGTCGTGCGAGCCCGCATCGTTCCTATAGCACAAGCACTATCGATTGCAGCCGAGAAGAGGAAGCTTCATGTCCCGGGTTGTGCATTCCATTTGACCGTGAATCATGAAAACATTCCAGAACTGAATCCGAGAGGATACCACTGGCTGGTCCCAGACTGGGACTCCCTGTTCCCTCTAGCTCAGCAACTGAACGTGAATCCTAGCTATGCCACCGTCATGTGCAGTGTTGCCGAGCATCTTCCGGTACAACCAGAACTAAACTGGAACTACTGCCCTCGCAAGGCTCTAAAGACCGTTGTCGAGAAGGCAGAGAAGCTACTCCAGGTGCACTTACTCGTCGGCTTTGAGGTCGAATTCCAGATTATGAAAGCCTCCGCCGACGGGAAGTTAGAACCTCATAGTTCCGGGATGGGCCGTTGTGCTATTTCTGGACTCCGTGACCCTTGTGTGGCCCATATCCAGGAAGTTGTACAGATGCTGATAGGCGCCGGGATAGGGGTCGGCGCTTTTCAGACTGAAGGGGACCGTGGGCAATACGAAATCGCTCTCGAACCTCAGTCTCCTCTCAGAGCTATTGACGAGCTCATCCTGGTCCATGATACCCTCAAATCTGTCTTTGCTCGCCATGGATTGGTAGCAACCATGGCACCCCGACCAGTGGCGTCACACAAACAGATGGCTGGACAACACACTCACATCTCGCTCAACCCCCCAAACAAGGAGGCCTCTTTTCTGGCTGGCATGCTCCGCAGACTTCCCGGCCTGTGTGCATTTTTCCTCCCGTATGACCTATCATACGAGCGTGTCCAGCCATACCTTGCGGGCCATATCGTTGCATGGGGGTCCGAGAACCGAGCAGTAGCTATCCGCCAGATAAAGACTGGTCACTGGGAGCTCCGTTGTGTGGATGCTACAGCCAACATGTACGTCGCTCTTGCAGCTGTGATCAGCGCTGGTACAATAGGCTGCATCAATGAGGAAGAATTGGTATGGCCGGACACTGGTTTCATCACCGAACACTTCCCAACTAGCGGCACTGAACCCCTTCCCAAGAGCCTAACGGCTTCCTTGGAGCAGTTGAACAAGTCGTGTGACAGCCTTGAAGAGATGATTGGAAGTCGGATGCTTCGGCACTATATCGCTGTCAAGAGGTTCGAAGCACCCAGGCTTCAGAGGTTACCTGAAGAGACGGTACGGCAGTTGCTCTGTGAAATCTTTTAGCCCTTTCTTCCCCCAAAAAAGGATAATATATCTCCATAGTATAATTTTTTCTGCAGGCAGTCTCTAAGCATACGTCAGTAGTATATACTTAGTTAAATGCTTAAAAAACGGAGATAACTGAAATTTGATCTTGATCTCAACGAACTGGATGTTAATACTAACGATGCTCTGGTCCGAATTGAAAGTACCAATGCACATCGTGATAATTATATAATATCCTTAAGCTCGAGAGAAGCCAAAATTTAAGCAGAACAAGGGTTGAGAATTCGAAACTGGACCAGCCAGAAAGAAAATCTGTGCAACAAATCCACGCACATCCGGGTAGTTATGCAACCGGAAGGGAGCAAAAGTAAACCCAACGCTCTCTGTGATTCCGAAATAACACCTCCAGTCACATACGCTGTGAGCCCTCAGGCTATATACGTGGTAGGTCTTATTCAGAGCATGACGGGATGCGGGGGTTATCGAAACGCCATTTTGCACAAGTGCAATGTTTGATAGCGAATTTGCCCGAGAGATATTCGCCAACAATTATTCTCATAGCGCCCACTGCTTGAAAGTCTTGACTCTCTCGGCAACCAAGTATCCTAGACCATGTATCTCCTACATTGACTTTATGAAGCCGGCTTTTCATGTGTCCGAGGGCGCAAAAATCATATTATGTAGATGCGAGTGGCCTTTCTTGCTGAAATATCCGGTTCTAAACAGGGCGGCTCCTTTTCTTTGTCAAGTATATCAAGTAGCAGGACCTGTACATATGTGGGTAGCAGTTTTGGGGTAGGAAGGTCAGCTCCAACCTCCTACGGGGCAATGAGACAACGAGGTAGCTAGCCATAAACACATGGGTAACGAAGCGAAAGAAAAAGGAATTCATGCAAAGCCACGTCGCTCGATTGAGATGGGAAGCATTGGAGTGTAGACGTATAAGATGACTTGTTACCGTCGTTCTATCATGTAGGTACCTTGCTTTAAGCTGGACTTAATTCGTCCCTTTCCTAAGTCAGACACCATCCATCTTTGAAATGAAACCCGTCGGTTCTTCCACCCAATGTGAGGTCGTCGTTGATGACGCTCGTCTAGATGATGTCTCGCTTCACCCGTTTCTAGTCTCTACCTCACGAGGCTTTTTACCCCTGAGAAACCCGCTGGTTACTTTGCCAAAGGAGTTTGATGTTCTGGAATCGCTCCTTCAGCGTATGCCGATCAAGACTGCCTCTGGGGAACCAGGTCTCCTTGCTGAAGGCAAGCTCGGTGACGTTGTCGACAAGGAATTCCCGGATCTCACAGCTCAGATCGATGTATACAAAGATAACCTTCACGTAATAACTGCACTGTATCGAGATTATTCCTTTCTCGCCGAGGGCTACCTCCTAGAGCCATGCCATAGACAATTCATGGAAAGTAAGGATTATGGGATTGGACGGCCTTTCTTGCCCAAACAGATCGCAGGTCCATTTGTGAAGTGTGCGGAAATGTGAGTTTCCTCCATTAAACCGACGTAGCCACCAAGGCTAACAGGCACTAGCGCTGGTTTTAAGCCATATCTCGAGTTCAGCTCATATGTGTTGCTCAACTATCGTTTAGAGAACCCTGCCGCGGGGCTTGAGTTCTCCAACTTGCGTCTTATTAGAGCTTTTGAACATGGCCTTGATCCTGCATCGTCTGAATCAGGATTTATTCTAGTGCATCTCACCATGGTGAAGCACTCAGGTCCTCTCGTCCAGGGCGTGTTGAAGGCATTCGAGGCTGCATCAGAGGCAACAGCTTCCTGTGGAACCATTGAGCAAAGGAAATTGCTTAATGAAGGGCTATCCACACTGGTCGATGCTTTGGCAAACCTCAACTCCCTTATGAAAATTATATACCAGAAGTCGAAACCGACAGAGTATAATAATTTCAGAACCTTTATGTTTGGAATTACTTCCAATTCCATGTTTCCTGATGGTGTCATTTATGAGGGTTGTAATGATAATAAGCCCATGTTCTTCCGTGGAGAGACTGGAGCAAATGATGCAATGGTGCCCCTTATGGATAATTTCCTCCAAATTCCTATGCCTGATACGCCTCTTACGGTGATCCTTGATGAATTCTCAGAATACCGCTCTGACAAACACAAGGATTTCCTTAACTATGTCAAGGAGCGTGGATTGCAATTAGAAATCAAGAAGTTTGCCCTCGATCGACTTGGTGCTGCTAGCCCTGGGGACGTTAGAGATGCTTTGCGGAAATCTCGTGGCTTATGGCTCCAGATTCTCGACCAGGTGCGGGAATTCCGCTGGCGCCACTGGAACCTGGTCAAGGAGTATATCCTTAAACGATCAGACCATCCTACAGCAACAGGTGGGAGCCCTATCGTAACCTGGCTGCCAAATCAGCTGGAGGCCGTACTTGATGACATGATTCAAGTGCACGCCGCAGCATTGGAAGACGACCCGACAGGCTTGGGGAAAACTTGTGACAACATCATGGAAGTCGTCTTGAGGCAAAAAGAAACATTGAAAAAAGAAGTCGAGAAATACTGCGCTGAGCGAGGTTAAACGGTTTATTGGAACCAATGTATGGAGTAGTTTATTAGACAGGTATCAGAAATCTTTTGCAGTTAGATAGTATGCGATTACATAAGGATTCAGCGTGCTGAGTAAGCACTAAAAAAGGGCTTAAATAAGTTCTGTCCAATCATTAGCTGCCAAGCCATAGCCCTGTAATGATCACGTGCTTGGTTAATATAAGAACTTTCTTCATGTGTGGGTGGATGCAATCATTCATTATAGCAGCCAGCGTCGCCTAAGAAATATGAGGCTACTAAACCGTCTGCTTTGCTATCCTAATACCCATTTCATAGGCCGGAGACCTCGGCTCATCCCCCCTCGTCTTCTGGGCTCAAGATCGATGCGGGCCATACCAGAGCAACAGCATGGTATGTTAATGACCACTACGAAAAAGACGTTAAAATAGCTTGTAATAGATATAGATTGGAATTTACATGATGAATATTTCAACTTTACCCGTGGACGGTTTGTTGTTGACGAAAAGAAGCAAATCTCAAAACGACACATTTACTTTAACATGAACGAGCTCGCTCAAGTAGCTGCAAGATCAGTTGGTGCAAAATATTGTACAAACATCGAAAAGTGTGCAGATGGCATGTTCAACAAAGCGTACATCTTTACCCTTGACAATCATAAACAAGTCGTTGGCAAAGTTCCAAATCCGAATGCCGGCATACCTCACTATACAACTGCCAACGAGGTAGCAACAATTGACTTTGTGAGGCTGGCCACTTCTTTCTTCCCGTTGTTGTCCATTCATTCTTGTTTGGCTACCTTGCCACTAACTATACTTCTAGATGCGTAATGTGCTGAAAACGCCAGCACCAGAAGTATATGCTTGGAATTCCCGATTAGACAAGGGAAACAATATCGGAGTCGAGTACATTATTATGGAAAAACTCGATGGAATTCAGCTGGGGAGGGTATGGCCTTCCTTAGATCCCGCAGATAAGATGAAAATCTTCCTCCAAATCTTCGATTGCCAAAGACTTTGGAGCGGGACGAAATTCACTAGCTTTGGGAGCCTTTATTATCGTGATGACTTGGATGGATCGGTTTGCAAACCGCTTGTTGATGATCGACGTAGCCAACCGCCTGAGTTTAATCGATTTGCTATTGGCCCAGCCACGGGGCGCGAATGGTCTGATGATGGTCGAATCTTCTTGGATTGTGATCGAGGTCCATGTTAGTGACTCGCCCTCTCGAATCGTTCTATATTTTCACCTCTGACATGGTTTAAATTCAAGGGAACTCTTTACATGAGTATCGGATAGCAATTGGACTCCGAGAAAAGTTAGCTATTGAGAATAGTCCATGTGCTCCGAAACAACTGGCAATGCTCTATGGTCCAGGCCTCTATAAACCCACACTCGAGAAAAGGCTGGATGCTGTTAAATCTTACCTGAAGCTTGCCAGTTTCCTCCTCCCCTCTGATCCATTATTGACTAGTGGTCACCTCTGGCATGACGATCTCCATAGTGAGAACATTTTTGTTAGCCAGAAGAAACCCACGGAGGTGGTTGGGATTATTGACTGGCAGTCAACTCAAATCTCACCTCTATTTGACCATTGTATGGATCCGGCCTTCCTAGAATACGATGGTGACCCGATTGGTGACAGTTTGAAGCGTCCTGAACTTCCAGAGAATATCAAATTCTTGCCTGAAGATGAGAAGAAGGAAATCATTAACCAGTACTTAGACAGGTCTGTTATGGTAGCCTGGCGTATGCTCGTGAAGGGTAAAAACCCCAGTCAATATACCGCCACGATGTTCGAAAATACGACAAAAGGATACTTACTTTTTCTTTCCCGCCGTCTCTATGAACTGGGGGAGCCTCAATTCCATGCTCTATCACTAGAACTACGGAACGAGTGGTTGAAATCTAGAGCAGTCGATGGTAAGGATAAATTTCCACTTTCCTTTTCAACGGAGCAAGAAATTGAGATCAAGGCCGATAAAGAGGCTGCTGCGTTAAGCTCCGAGGCCATGAAGAGTATACAGCAGCAGCTTGGCCGCATGTGGCCTGATAAGGCTGTGGCAGAACATGACGACTTCGAGGAGTTAAAGTCTAGACTATCTCGGATAAAAGAAGAGTTAAAGTCAGAGCTAGCACGAACGGCCGAAGCGCGAGCAGAGTTGGACAAGTTCTGGCCTTTTGACGATTGATCAAACTGGAGCCTGGAGTCAACCCAATACAGCGCTCTTAGTCAATTTCATTGTTTCTTAAAATTGATATTTTCGATTATAGCCAAAAATGTCATATATAATGTACAATAGAAGGAAATATTATTAATAATCCAGATATATGGAATCTTTTGGAACATCATATGCTATCCGGCAGCCTGTCACCTTAGCCCCTTATATACGCCCTAAAGCTGCTTCTTTGCCTCAATATTCTTATTCTGTTCTAACACAAACCCAACAGATCTTGCGACGCCCTCATCGAGTGGGATATAAGGGACATAACCTAGCCTTCTTTTTGCTTTGTCACATGAAAAGTATCTTGTCATGCAGGAGTATCGAACTTCTCGGCGTGTAAGCCGTGGTTTCTTTCCAAACAACCCAAACACCGTTTCAAGTATACCTCCAATGACAGTAAGCGCCCCCTCAGGCAGCACCCAGGCCTGACTAGGCTCAACATAGCGATCCATCAATGCCCAGATGGAACGGGCCATGTCCCAGAAGTACACAGGGCTGTCATTAGTGATATTGAACGCCTCACCATCGACACGCTCGTAATCAAGTGGAGGAGTTGATTTTGCCTCAATACGTTTCTTTGTGGCAAGTAGGAGTTCAGCGGCCAGCATGTGTGCATAGGCAATGTTACCTACGTAGGTGAAGTCAAACAAATTGTCGTTGTCACCGAGTTGGAATGATAAGACAAGAGGAGATGCTTTGGAGCCGTGTTCAACTAGTTTTTTTGTAAGAGTGGTGTCACGTTCACCGTGGATACCAGCAGGTCGGATGGCGACCGTCAGCATGCCGGAGGGAGAAACACCATTATATTTCAATACAATATCCTCCGCAATCGCCTAATAATAGTCATTAGTACAAAAATGACAGTTGCGGAAGAGATACTGAATAAAGTGGGAAAGACAAACCTTTGTTTCAGTGTAATATTCCTGCTGGAGTTTGCCGACGATCTTGGGCCATCTCTCATCAACATTTATCAAGTCTCCCTGAGTGTCATGAACCACTGATGATGAGCTTGTATAAATGAAAGCTTTGCATTGGCCACCCCAATCCCCTTTGGCACCACCTGCAACCTCCATCAAGTTCTTTGTACCATTCACATTCACATTATACAGCATCTCTCTCTCTCCCTCCAGCGGCGGTGGAGACACAGTATCAATGATGACATCGGGTTTCACAATTTTGAACACTTCCAGTAATTGCTCCGTATTCAGAATATCTGCATCATAGTACTCCGCTCCGGGAAATCGGTTATGTACTGTCCGGAGATCAAGAACAGACACTTTGGTGTTTTTATATGACGGGTATCGGTCGCGTAGGCGAGGGTGTGCAAACCGGGGATCGGGGTTGCCATTTGCGTCGGTGATTTTAGAAAATGGGTGATCAGGTAGGGAGTCTTCGGATGGGAAGTTGAGCAGTTGGTCAACGACGTGGGCGCCTACAAAACCGCATCCGCCAACGACCAGGACATTGCCTAGCTCGATGACTCGGGATTGAGCCATTTGAGCTGAGTCTTGGGACGATAATTGCCTCAAGGAAACGGTTATAAGTCGACCCTAGTATTTGGAAGATAATTCTGTTTCTCCGTGTAGAGGCTGCAATGAGGATCGTGATGTTGTTCGAGTTGCATCAAATTTGAACGTCTTTTCCCCCTAAACGATGCTAAAGCTTGACCCTCGATCGGGATTAGCGGGGGTACAATTTTAATTACGTAATCACTTTATTTCGTTCCTTGTTCAACCAAATTTGGGTGATGTCACATCCTGCATCACAGCATAAATTTTAGTTAAATCTGTTCTAGTTACTCCTAAGTAGTTCATGGAGGGGTTATACCCTCCAAACGTACCTACATAGGAGTCTAATAGTATCGCCTCAATCTTGTATTTGATCGATTCATGCATCACGTGATATGGAAATCCTGGTATAGGATTTAACTCCGAATCACGTGTGAATTTCAGTGGACCCATTTGGAAAATCTGGTGGGACAACTCCATAATTATTTCGTGGACACACTGCTGGATAATCATCTTCAGCTTCCACATAGCAATGGAAATTCCTGTATCTAGCTGGAAATGGCACGATATGCATCTGCAGATAATGCAAACCAACGTCTCACCACACCTTATGCAAACACTCTGCAGGATAATATTTCTCGAAGGACCGTTACAAGATATCCTGATTCTGTCAACACGATATTCGGTCTCCTAGGCAATGTAGGTAAAGTACCGGCTGGTAAACCCCTGTTGGGTGGGCAACCGTGTTCACCACGCCACTGCATACCAAGGACACCATCAACCAGAAAATTGGAACTGAGGGCCCGCCGGCTTGGGATATAAGAGATGGTAACGCATTCTTCTATCGAGAAGCTTCCTCTGTTGTGTCGCAGAAATTTAATGGCAGAGACAGACCAAAGTAAAAGTAAGCCAGAATACGCTATCGCCGTTACAGGCTAGTATCATGTTTCACGGAGGGCATATATGCATTATACGCACTCGGACAATTTCTTAGTAGATCTTACATAGTACGACAGACTTGCCATGCCAAGTTGCATCCACGGATCAGAGCTTGTCCACACGGAACATCAGCCAATATTGCCTGAAGGAATAGTAGTTGCGCCGTAATCCGACTAGAGAGATGGGCCCGAATACAAACCTGGGCATCTCTAAAATATATTGGACTACGGCTTGGGTAACCCTAAATCAGCTTCTCATACCTGACGGGTCAACTTAAGCGATTGAAGGTGGCAATTCCAGTTCATCCAAAGCATGAATGGACCAGCTAACCTTTCCCTAACCTTCCACAGGTCTGGGGAATTGGGTTTGGGAGATCCATGGTCTAGACAGGTGCGGAGTTGGTACGAATATAATTGTTGTGTCGGCAACGGGCAAGTTGCTGTCATGACATCCCTCGTGATGCGTCGTCCAAGTATGTTCGGTTACTGGTCGGCAACTTGGCCTGCATACAGAGACAGCAAAAAATAGGTCAAGAAAGGGTGTAGGTAGGGAGTGTTCATGGGGGATATGCTTCAAGCTGCAGTCGGTTGCATGCAAGAGTGCCTCTAGCCTTGATTGTACGAGAATTAGGCGTTTTGAGGGGGTATTCATGTACATGATATTGCGCGGGCCTATCTTTTGTCTCGTGCACAAGGAATGGGGTTGAGATACTCCGTACAGATGAGATGACTCCGGTTTGGGATATATATTGAAAAAGGTGAGCAAAGCGAATATATGCCTATTGCTCACGCTGGAGCCTTTTTTCATCGGCGTTTCCTGTCAAGCGGTATATATATGCTGCTCTAAGTGTGGCATACGATGTTGAAGTCAGTCACCATCATCGAGCACTCCGTACAGGGTTCTACTTGTTCTAGATTCGTTTTATGGGGTCAGCGGCGGATTTTTGATGACCTCCTGCATCGATATAATCTTCCCGCGTGCGCACCATATTTACGCACCCTGTGTATGGCGCCTGTTTATGATATCAGAGATCAAGGTCCAAGCCAGGGGTCAAGGATGAGAACGAAGTTCTGCCTAGACAACAGCCCATCGTGTTCACTTTCCAAGAGTGATACCATGCCAAAGGAGGTCCACGACTCGGCGCTGGGCGGGAAGAAGGGAAGAACTTGGATCACGCGTCGCCCGTTAATGGTGCCTACATAACTAGCGCCTCACATATTTTTTTTCTTTTCAATCATCCTGTGGCCCCATGTATGCAGGTAATAATATTCATGAAAGTGTCTGGGGGTGGCAGACCTATCATATATTTTTGCACTTCCCGCTGGGCTGAAGGATCTTTTCTCTCGACGTTTCATGAAAAGAGTCAGCCCATGTGCTATACAAGGCGCAAGGGACAGGCAAATACAATACTAAGGTAGGAAAAACTCAACTCTTCTCATGATCGAATGGGAGTTGACGTGGTCGATGCAGCAGCCACAGGAATCGGCACCAACACGACAGGCTATGTTTTAATTAACCTGAGCTTTCGAGGTAGTAAGATTGCACACAAAAATGACCCTGAGAAAGGGCCTTACTAGGCCTTGTGATGCCCGTATAATTCACACAGATATCGACAAGGTAGTGGCGTCATGGACGATGGGCTTGGTGGCCTGTCCAAAGTGCTCGTGTTTCATGGCTCTGGCTCGTACATAGTTGCAAGCCGAAGATGAAATGTCCGACTGTCATCTCTCTCTCTCTCTCTCTTTCACACCCTTCATCCCCTTCCTCCTCTTCCTCTCTACTTCCCGTCATGCTCTCGTGCTTCGTGTTTTTCTTTTTATATATCAAAAAGTGCTTAAAGTGAAGATCAATACCAGACGTTACAATACGGTGACCCCCTCTTTACGTACAATCTTGGACCGTAGACGTCCGCACAGCCAATAAAACGGCTTGAATTGCTGAGTCATCCTGTATACATACCTGTATTATAATACCGCACGCCCATAGTAACTTTCTTTTTTCCCAGATAGTAAACTTCTTTCGCCGCCCATAATAATAATAATATTCACGTCTTTCCCTTGTAGCTTTTTCAACTCCTCTTCCTCTTCGTCAAGTCGACAAAGCGACAGGTGTCTGGTTCTGGCCTCTGCGATGCTGCTCCTACGCTCGTAGCATGTCCGGACTCACTGGCTAAGCCCTTACCTGCCTCCCAATCGCCGAAAGATCTGTGTCGAACCATCAAAGTCAACCGAACCCCAGTTAAGCGGACGGAAAAGCGAGCAACAACTTTCGAACGGCAACGCCGGAGGATCATACGCAGTACGGCTTCCTGTTGGGCCTAGAGGACCGTCATAGGGCCCCGAGTTGTGCTGTGAATTATGAAGTGGCTCAATTAGCAGGGCTGGTGCACCTACGATATACTCTCGAAGGGTATATATATATACATATTTGAGATCTCTCGAGTCTCACCTCCAATAGCTCGCAAGTTGAACCACGATTTCTCTCTCACAACCTTCCGCCCGCTTCTTCCGGAAGAATAAACGACGTTATCTTTGGAGCAATGTGTTGTTCATGGTGACTGGTCGAGCTATCAGCTGGTCCGGGCACCGTTCTGCCCGGCAGACGGACCCCTTCGTTAATTCGACTTTGATATACCACTTTGTGAACCTGCTTGATACCGGCTTATCTCGCTTCCTTTAATAAGAACCAACTCGTCTCTGTGACATACAACCCTTCCAAGCTCTCATCATGTCGTCATATGATGGGCGAGAGCGCTCAGATGCGCCACGATACCTTGAGCCTCCCGCCGTTACCGCTCTTAGGGAGGAGGCTCGAAATGTTGCCGCTCCCGCCCCAATGGAACGAACTCTCAGCGAGGATATCAGGGAGGAACGTGAAGATTTAAAAGAAGCTGCGGAACATACACTCAATGTGATCGTGGATTTGGATTTGGACGGCAGAATAAAATGGGTTAGCCCTTCATGGTGCGAGGTTATTGGTACCACAGCCCAGGAGGTCGAAGGACAGTTTATTCATGATATTGCTTTGGACAATAAGACAATCTTTAAAGATGCAGTGCAGTCTATGAAGGAGGATGACTCCAAAAGTCAGATTGTGAGATTTGATATTCGCCTGGGTCCTTTATCTGTTTTCTGGCAAGATAGGAGGTTACCGGAAGAAGAGGGGGAAGTCTCCGCCACAGATGCAGAGGAGGCGGAAGCACCACGGGGAACCATCGAGCAGGAAGACGATAATATCCTGAGTATGGAAGGGCAGGGGATAATGGTCTATGATCGAACGTCTGGTGGCGGTAGCCATGTGAGTTATTCAAGGAAAAAACCACTCTGCATATATTTATTATAAAAGGCTGACCTTTTTTTTTTTTTTACCACAGACTATGTGGATGCTTCGGCCATCTACTGAACCCCGGGAGGTGACAATCGGTCTTCCCCCACTGCTCGTTGAATCTCTCGGAGTCGGAGCAGAAGTCCTCGCCAACTATCTCACCGTTCTAGCTGAAGTCGGGGTCAGTGATCCTGCTCACCACCCACCCCCAATGCCCGTCCTCTGCAGGATCTGCGAGAGGCAGATCACGCCCTGGTGGTTCGAAAAACACTCGGAACTTTGTCTGCAAGAACATAGGGCCGAAATGGACGTTCAAATGGCGCAGGACAATTTAAACGAACACCGCCATAGCATCGTCAGAGTCCTCGATGCCCTTGAAGCGCGGAAGAGCCGAGACAATAGCCCGTTTGCAGGCCCACAGGCAGAATATAAGGGTCTGCAGATTGGCCCTTCTCCAGCAACTTCCAGTCCTGGTTTGGCCTCAGGATCCTCCTCATCCTCAGGCACACCCCCTCGTTCTCGCGACCCGTCTACATCTGGACTAGGACACTCTCGTGGGCGCTCATTTGCTGTTAGACGTCCATTAGCCCGTATTGTGGAGTTGATCTTAGATCTCTGTGACACTGCCTTGGAGATCAGCACGCCAGCTCTTAAGGAATCCCGAACGGAAATCGGGGACGAAGTCAGGACACAGTCCCCCCAGTCAGAGTCGCGGATATCTCAGGTCCTTCAGTGGCAGTCACCTAGCAATCACACACTAGAGCAGGAGAAAGGCCTGGCAGCCTTATCTGCTGACACTGAGGAGGTTGCCCGTGCAAAGGTCGATGCCGTCTTCAGACACAGACGGATCGTTGAGTACGCTGAGCGTATTCGAATCGAGTTTACCGTCATAGTAGAAGAATGTATCTCTGCTGCCATGGCGAAGGCTGAGCGTATTTCTTCTGGGAACCTTGAAGATTCAAGCTCTTCCTCTGATATTGAAACCGCAACAGAGGACCAGGAAACTAGTAGTATACCGCAAGTCATTTCCCTAGAGAGGACATCCTCTATGTCCGCAATGTCTGTTGGAAGCACTTCTCGGTCCTTATCTGGTGATCGAGGGCTTCGACGTGCTATTGAGCGAACCCCGGCTACTCCTATTCCGATCTCTACGCGGTCAAGCAGCCCGATGGAATGCCCAACACCACGTTCACTCAAGAGCTTGGGCAGCTTCGTCAACCCACCACACTCAAAACGCGGATCTCTACTTGCAGAGAGAGAAAGTGACGCGGCAGACAGTGACAGCAGCATTCTCTCATCCGTCTTGTCGGAGCGGAGAACACAGTCTCCTCTCTCCGAGCGGGGGCCAAGCCGAACTGCCAGCGCAAAGGACAAAAATCGCCGCAGCCTTATATTGCCTGGCGTTGCATCCCCACGTAGGGAATCCCCTGCTCGCAATCCCCCACACTCTCCTTTACGGCTGTCCAAGCCACGATTTCCCGTTGGGAGTGAGAACTTGCCATCGCCATCTACGTCTCCGCACCTAACATCAACTGAGTTGGCGGCTCATGGCCACCCACAATTCTACTCTGCTCATCAACACCGCCACCATCACCGACGGCAGTCATCAGCTACTTCACCCGATGTAGGCAAAGCTCCAATATCTCCGCATATGACCTCTGCCAGTCACCCGCCACCCCCTGCAGTTACCCCGTCTATCAAAGACTTTGAAATCATCAAGCCAATAAGCAAAGGAGCCTTCGGAAGCGTTTATCTTTCTAAGAAGAAGTCTACTGCAGAATACTTTGCTATCAAAGTCTTGAAGAAAGCTGACATGGTAGCTAAGAATCAAGTCACAAATGTCAAGGCAGAGCGCGCAATCATGATGTGGCAAGGAGAAAGCGACTTTGTTGCAAAACTCTATTGGACATTCTCTAGCAAGGACTATCTCTACCTTGTTATGGAATACTTGAATGGAGGTGACTGCGCTTCATTGGTGAAAGTTCTAGGCGGACTATCTGAAGATTGGGCGAAAAAGTACATTGCAGAAGTCGTCCTTGGCGTTGAACATCTACATAGTCGCGGTATTGTTCATCGAGACCTCAAACCGGATAACCTTTTAATCGACCAGAGGGGCCACTTGAAACTCACTGACTTTGGCCTTTCACGAATGGGACTGGTTGGTCGACAGAAGCGCATTCAGAAGAGCCCAAACGATTCTGCACCGGACTTGCTGAAACATGGTCCATTCACTCGACCCGACGTTTCAATTACGTCCTCACGTTCAGCTTCATTCGATTTCCCTGCTACTGACTCACCCCACAATACTCCATTGATCGTTCCGGAGCCCGTGTTAACGCAGCCGTCGTACTTCAGCTTAAGCAAAGAGCCTTCCTTAAGCCGTGAACACTCGAGGCGGGCATCCGGCTACCGTAGTGACAGTGGAAGTAGTGATACTCTTAGCCAGTTGATGAGGAATTGCGCAGTTAGTGACACTACAGGTTCCAATCCTTTGACACCATCCGGTCACCCTTCGCTCCAACAGTCGAAATCTACGATAGATGAGGAGATTATCAGTGAAGGAAGCGATTCACCCCATTTGTTCCCTGTTCAATCCTCATCTAGCTACGCTACACCCTCTATCCCGTCGCAGTTCGAAAGTTCTCAACAGCCAATGCTCCCTCCCCCAATGGCCTTGTTTGACCCACAGGATCACAATAGGTGTTTTGTTGGTACACCAGATTACCTTGCTCCCGAAACCATTAACGGTGTTGGTCAGGATGAGATGAGCGACTGGTGGTCTTTAGGGTGTATACTTTTTGAGTTTCTCTACGGATATCCGCCGTTCAATGCCTCAACACCTGACGAAGTATTTCAAAACATTCTGCATCGGAGGATTAACTGGCCTGATGAGGCTGATGAAATGGTTTCACCTGAAGCCAAGGATATTATGGAGAAGTTGATTACCATAAATCCTCATGAACGCCTTGGGTCAAACATCGATGAGAAATATGCCAACGGCGGCGCTGAAGTTCGTGCGCACCCATGGTTCTCCGATATCAACTGGGATACGCTATTAGAGGACGAAGCTCAGTTTGTTCCTGCGCCAGAGAATCCGGAGGATACCGAGTACTTTGACTCACGCGGAGCAACCCTGCAATCTTTCAACGAGGAGTTTGAAGGCCAGCTCTCGTCCCCTAGTTCTAGTGGAGATTACCCCGATCGGCCGCATGATGCACTTTATAAGGTGAAAACACAGGTCAATTCTTTGAAACGCGGCCTGATGCCTCTACATATCCCACCCCATGTTCGAGATACTCGGAGTCGCCGGCTTAGTGAACCTGCGTTGGCAGATGACTTTGGGAGCTTTAACTTCAAGAATCTTCCCATCCTTGAGAAGGCAAATAAAGATGTTATTCAGAAGTTACGACATGATGCAATGCAGGCTCAGCAGCGGGCAGTCCCCAACAATAGCCCTGCAACACCATCTGGGCCGTCCCTCGAAGGCAGCCCACTTCTACCAATGCCATTGAAGAGAACAATGTCTCACAACAAAGCTAGCAATCGACCGGCATCTCCATCAAGTTCAAGTCTTCCTAATTCATCTTCTCCTAGCAGACCTTCTCAGCCTGGGTCACCACTTCTCGTTCAATTTAGCACTGCTAGTCACCACGAGAGACGGAAAACATCCGGATCATCAACATTCTCACCGCCTTCATCTGGCTCTGCACCTACAAGTGGTGGCATCGAGCCCCCTCGGCTTTCAACCAATCTAAAGATATCAACATCCACAGCATCATCACCGATAAAGAGTATGAAAACTTCGATATCATCTGACACACCTTCTCTACATCGTCAAAGCAGTGTCCCAACCTCTCGATCGAGGTCCCACACTATTGGTTCGCAAGATAGTGATTTGACACCAGCAAAGGAGCCATTTGTTCCTGGCCATTGCAAGCGTAAGAGTCAACTTTGGGATATTTCTCCATCTTCCTCTGATAACGAAGATCCTCGGGCTAAAGCCTTGCTAAAAGTCCAAAGACGGAGACAGAGCTCGCGACGATTATCACAGATCAATTTGGTGGAAGGCCCATTCTTCCGACCACTCGATATATTGATTTGTGAAGACCATCCTGTTTCCAGATTGGTTATGGAGACACTGTTTGAAAAGTTGAGGTGTCGAACCATTACCGCAATCAATGGTTCGGAGGCGATGAGATATGCTTTGAGTGAAGTACAGTTTGATATCATCATGACAGAGTTCAAATTGCCCCAAATCAATGGAGCTGATGTTGCTCGCATGATTCGCGAGACTAGAAGTGTCAATACTCACACCCCTATCATCGCCGTAACTGGGTATTTGAAAGATCTTCCGGAAACTCATCACTTCGATTCCCTTATAGAGAAGCCTCCAACCCTTCAAAAGCTAACAGAGATTCTCTGCAAGTTTTGCCAATGGAAACCTCCGCCAAAGGATGAAACTCCTATGATGTCCAACCCTGCTTCCTATTCAATATTACGGCAGAAGTCGGGTGCTATTGAGGACAGCCCTAGCTCCGGATCTTCTGGCTTTGTTACTATACCTACGGGTTCGTATAGAGGTTCCAGCCGCGAAGACTCTATTGACAGTAACAGCTTAATTGGAGAGTTTGAATCACCGAGATCTGACGATATCCCAGTCATCGTTGGTCATCGACCCATCGAGGGTTGGGAACGTAATAGAGGGGGGGGTCTTGGTATTACAGAAGATTGTTCAGCTATTTCTCGACCTATTGTGGCGGAATACCAATCATCCACTCCTCCAAACCTTATCCATGCAACCTCTGCACCTGCCGCATTCTCGATGCCAGGCATCTCCACTCCACGAAAGCGCAGTTCTGTTGAATGCATTCGAGCAAAGCGTGAGTCTCTAGAAAAGAAACGTTATGAGGGTGCTGAATCTGGAGATGACGAAGATGAGGAACTGGGGAATACACAAGTGCGTAAGAGCCCGCAGTTTACGACTGGAAGAACTCGGCGATCAGGTTCGAAACTCGGTACAGAAATGATGAGGACAAATAGTCGTGGGAGTGTCGTGAGTGTTGGCGAGGATTATATGAAAGAACGAGAGGTGGAATCCGATACCCAGACGGCTTCTTCAGATACAGCGTCCACTGTTGTCCCTTCGGCCTCTATCGAAAGCACCATGGACCGCTTGCATTTAAATGAAGACACTCTAGGGGTTCTCGCAGAGGATCCTGAAACAGAAGAAACCTCTTCTTCAAGCACCGCACTGGACAATCCCACCGCTGGCAGACTCAGTCAACGACTTTTAAAAGAGCGGCAGACTTTTAGCTTGCAGCCAGCTCTCTCCGCCCATCCCACAACCGAAGGGGGTAGAATAACTCCGCCTCTCATATCCCCGTGCACCAGGACAATAACGCCAGAGCACCGAAGTTTCGTCTTGAGCAGGGAAAACGATGGCCCGGATAACAACGACATCACTCCTAAACCGCACATTAGTGCTAGTTATCTTGGTGACGAGCAAACCGAAAGTACCCCTGAAGAGCCAACTCCACGAGCATCAGATCAAACAAAGTCCCATACTAGGGACCGCGTCCTAGGCTGGATGCGACGATAGCTGCATACCTGTTTTCACACAACTCGTCCTATCCTTTATTTCCTTTCCTTTCAGTCCTCTTCCGGAGTAATGCGCTAATGGAATTTGAAGCGATCTTTAACCATCTTCCTTTCTTGTTTTATGCCTTTTCCTCTCCTTTGATTTTTACTGTAAATACCACTTACCTTTACATCATACTTGACCTGTCCCTACTTCTTGTCCATCTCGACTCTCCCACTTTTCTATTACCGAGCACTTTCTATGTGGTTTTTTTTCGATTCCTTACCACTCTATGTCTATATCACTTTAGTCTGTCCCAAGCGAAGGAGTTACAGGATAATTTTCTCGTCCATCCATATGATCCTATTTTTGTAGGATGGACGGAAAGGCTGCTAGTTATTCGAAGGGAAGGGGACACAATAGTCAGACACAGAAATAAATACATTAATTGTATTTTATGGAACTAGTCATCCATCTGTCGCACTTTATGGTCGTTGTCGGAAATCTGGTTTCTATATTCCCTTGGTTTGCATCGCTCATATCGTCTAATATCAGCCCAATCCTTCTGGATACTTCATTATCTCATTTGACTTTGCAGAATAATAAATAATTCTAGTCGGTAAATAAATTGGCATTAAGCAGAGTAGCTTCTTGATCGTTAAATAATAAAATGGAAGAAAAGGAAATTCATAACATTTTAAGGACAAGACGATACGAGACGATCCAAGAAGAGATCGAATTTACTCATCGTCCTCATCAATCTTTGCATCCCTTCCCTGTCTGTCCATATCCTCATCCTCTTCAAATGTTGAGGATGGAACACTGTAAAGTCGGAGAACAGGCTTGTTAGGGTCCTTGACAAGAATGTATTTCTTGATGCTCTCCTCATTCTCATTCCCATCTTCGTTTTCTTCCTCGTCGCGGCTTCGAATGAGATCAACGATAGTGCGCACAATACCCCATCCATTGTTGATGTTCAAGTTCATCTGTCCAGCGAACTCACGGGGTTTGTAGCCCATAACACCAAGGATAATGTGGGATGCGGCAGAACGAGGGTTAGCTCTGGCAATGAAGCCGAGTTTGAGGATATCGGTCTTGGCGAGAAGGGCTTGAGTGGTCCATCGGGCAAGCTTGCAGTTGTTATTCTTCATCTCAGTAGCAACCACAGCACCACGCTGGGAGGAGAGCTTGTTGCGCCAGTCAAGTGCACCACCGGCTCCAGGTGCCCTGTGGTCAAATTCGTTGAGAGCGCGTAGGGTAACAAGCTGGTCATCACCGCTGACGTTCTTGATCACAGCATCGACTTCACTTCGTACAACCATGTGAACGGGCTCTTCTTCTCCACCAACTGAGAGATCGAAACGTCGGTATTTGTATGCCTTTGAGGCGAGTGGCTCGGTCTCGTCGGAGGGGTTGTAGAACGGGTTGCTGTTAGGATACTCGACCTTGGCAGTGTCTGACTCTACGACGGTCTGGAGGGTGAAGTTGTGGTTGATGATGGTGGCTTCAAGAGCAAGGGCACCAGGGGTATTAATGGGGTCGTGCTTCGTGCCAGACTGAGCTTCAGAAACCTCGAGGGGTGCATCGGTGGCATTCTCGTTGACAGTAACCAAGTCAATAGAGGCGTTGTCGCGCTTGTCGAAATAGATCTTATCACCCTGCTTGACGATAATGATATCCCACGAATAAACACTGCGAGGAGCGCACATGAGCATTGACAGAATGTCAGCAGTGGCGAAGACGGTAGCATCTGTCTTTTCGGCCAATTCCTGAATAACGGGGTCGGCAGATGTGGTGACATTGTATGCAGCACGGTCTAGAGACTGCAGTTTCTTCTCGGCACCCTTAACAGGAGCTTTATCGTAGGATCGGTCATAGTAGTGAAGGAAACCGTAGCTATCAATATCCTGGCCTTCAGGGGTTTCGAGGTTGAGCTTAGCGAGGCGGTTGAAATCAATCTCCTCCAACACGGTCCACTCCGGTCGAATGGCGATAGAGCTGTCTCGGTTTCGCTGTGGCTTGTCATAATCCTTCCATCCAAATCGTCGGCCACCGCCACGGCCTCCTCGTCCACCACGGCTGTCGAAATATCTGTCTCCACCCTGACCACCCCGTCCACCTCCCACTCTCTGGAAACCTCCCCTTCCTCGCTGAGGACCACCTCGTCCACGGCCACGGAAAATGGTACCGCCTCCTCGGCCAAAGCCACGAGACTTGACAGAGGTTCGAGTGTTATCGACAACAGAGAAGCTCGATTCATCTTCCGCGACCTGGACTGCAAACAAGCTGCCAGTTCCAGCGCCGTATACTTGTTGATCTGTGTATCAAACCCGTCAGTTAAATTGTGCCCCCTTAAAAGCAAAATAACGTCTTCTCCTCTGAGAAAAAGGCATACCTCTGTAGTTACGGTTATATGCCTGTCGCCCGCCTCTTCCATCACGGCCATCTTTGCCCTCTGAACTCCAGTCAGCCATGCGGCCTAACTTATCGCCCTTGGAGTAGGGTGCGTAGGGGACGCCATCGAGTGTCTTTTCCGTCGTGACAGCGGGACCCCAGGTATCGTCAGCGGGAAGAGCGGACACAAGGTCCAGAATCGACATCGGAGGCATCTTTATCTCTGCCGTCGAGCAAGTTGGCTTCTCTGAAGTGTCTTCGATGTCTTTCTCGTTGATGGCTTTAATTTTTTTTTATTTTTCTCTTTTAGTTTTCATGTGGGTTGAAATCTTGGCTCGCCAGGGTGTATTATGTAATCATATAAAAGCAGGTTGTTATTTGATAGAAGGTGATTGCTGGTCATGGAAACATAAAGATATTCATTTGATAGTATTAAGTAGCCGGTAGTTGATAGATTTGCCGAAACAGTGGGATAAGAGCAGGTGTACTTCCCCTTTTCATTAGTGACCGATAGATTTGAGAATATATCAGGGGCAGTATGAGAACCAAACGAAGGATAAAAAAAAAAAATTCCGCTGGGAAGAATCACGAGTACATATCCAGTACCTCTGCGCTCTGGATGGGTGGCGAGATGAGCGATGAGCTGCCATCAGGGCTAGCAAATGCGTAGTCCATCTTGCTGGTCAACACACTGTTCAGGGAGTCCATTACTTCAAAGTTCTCCAGGACGGCGCCGAATCCATAGCAGCGGACCTTCGCTGCAAGATCGTCCATCATGTTGGTTACATCTTCTCTGGTCAGATATGGGTATGCCTCGTGGCTTCGAAGAAGTTGCAGTGCCATTATCGGGGTAATCTCATCATCGGTTACGAGTTGTTTGCTAAGATTAAGAAGAGTGTTCAGGTTTACGGGCGGGAGGTCGTAGGTCTTTGTCGTATAGGTCTGGCCTCGCTCAGTGTTCGCTATCACTGACGGAGTTGGGCATGTTGCCATCAGCATATGCCCAGAGACCGCCTCTTGGTTTTCATCGTCGTGCGCTCGGCGGCAAAGAAATTCCATGTGCCAATTGCATGGCTTTTCAAGGCTGTATACATGGCAGAGGTTAGAAAGTCAGGGGTAAGAAAAAGATGCACTCATTCGGCAGTTTAATATCTAGCCACTCACTGAAGGACAAAATCTATCCCAAGTTGCGGGTCAACATCGAAAACGCCGGGGGTACTACTGACCAAGGCACTTTCGCCACCAAAACCATTGGATGATAGCTGATAGCTCACACCTGGCTGAGGAGCAGCTGATTCGAAGTACGGGTTGCTTGATCCAGCAGTGGGTTGTTGTACGGTCTCCGATGTTGTAGTTCCAGGGCTTCTACCCGCAGATATGGAGGTTTCCGGAGTGCCCAAGTAGTTCATGCTACCCATATCAGGAGCAGTCTGGATTGTCGTGCTACCACCGTAACTGCTTTCTTGCGGGGTATTCTGGATCGCAATTTTGCGTCTTTCTAATTCAGCCTCGACGTTGATGCCATGACATGCAAGGACCTCCTTTAGAACTCGGTTTTCCTCTTTCAACTCCTCTAGATTCTGTCTCTGTTGCATGATGGACATGTTTGCTCCTTCAATATCGCTGGCATATCCTTCTCTGAGGCGAGATATCTCAACCTCTAGCGCTCGGATGTATTGTTCCTTGCGCTCACGATGCGTCCTTTGCATGGATCAGCAAACTTTCATCAGAAGAGATGGTATCTGAGCTTTAATGTTCCAGTAGTTTACCTTTGCGCCTGTCTGTTCAATTCTTGTCTTCTGGTTTGTGCGGGTTTGCTGTCCGGCTTAGGACCACGCCGTTTTGGCTGTTGCCGTTGTTCATCTTACATAGAAGTCAGGCGGAGCTCAGTATAATTAGCAGAAAATGACTGCACGTACCAGTTACCTTCTTCAACGGATCATTGAAGTTCTTGAGAAATGACATGTTCACCAACGACGGGTTTTTCTTCGGGACAGTTGGAGGAGGCCCTAAGTTGATGGACGCAGGATAGTTTCCACCCATGACCGGGTTCAACTCAGGAATAGTAACTAGAAGATGAGTTTCCAGTCCATAGATATACCCTGAGCTGGCCAGTCATCGGCGGAAACAAGTGCGTCGAACCGTAAGTTTCTATTTTCCGGACATGTTCCTCTCAGTGAACAGGGGGGGTATGATTATTGACCAGGACGCAAAAAAGTACATTGGCGCAAAGCTATCAAACTTGTCCATCCGGAGTGTTCAAGTACGGCTGAAGTGAAATATCTCTAGGGAAAATTATAATGCAACATGAGAGATTGAGAGCTGACATACCTGGTTCGATACCACTAAGCCCATTTTTAGCGTCAGACTTGGGCTGCGGTGCGCCTGAAGCCATCTTCAAAGCCAGTAGTAGTTTAAATATGGACGAATTGACGGGTTGCCGTGGCCTTTGCTTCCTCTCGCAGTGATAGTAAAGACGTCTGGGGTAGCTAATATCAGTAACGAGGCCGTTGGCTGACGCTGGCGCTTGAACGCTAGCTGTCGATCACACGGGAGGATGACAGGGTGAATCAAGACTCAAAACAGCGTATACCAACCTCTTGAAACAGGTGAACTGCGAGCTTCAGCAATTCTCTCTCTTGGATGCATCTGCCTCTCTTTATTATGGCCTGATTTTGTTTTCCGTTCTCGTACTTTTCTGCTATTTATTTGGCCGGCAAAGCAAGGGTGGGTAATTTATGTATTATAAATACAGTAATATAGCGTATTTAACTCATTCTATTAGCTTATTCTAGTGTATTACATTAGTCAGCGGTATTATTCTCCGAGATTCTGCTTCGCCTCCGTGGCTGAAGAATAAAATGAAGACATGAAAAATATTGCTTGTTGCGGAGGAACAAGGCAGACACATATATTGAAGGAATAAAGAGGAAGTCATCTTGCTATCGGAGTAAATAAACGCTAGGCAGCGTATTGAGGGAAGGATTCAGCTAAAACAATACTCCGTATACTAAAGCGCTACCACCCTCAGCCCAGAGCTTAAGCCACTATTGTGCGTTGCCATAATATGTCGCTCTCAGACAGAGAAGTCACTAAAAGGATATCCACAGTGACACCGCTGGCTTCCACAACCCGCGTAAGATCAGCTATCTGCCTGTTGCTGACATATACCCGCCCGTAGTCTTGGCCGTTCTTGCTAGGAAGGACGATCGGGACCATAGTTTTCAGTGTCACTTTCTGTAGGCAGGGGGTATATCGAGATCGTCCGTCTAGATAGGCAATTACTTGGTTGATAGAATCCCGCGAGCCGCCACTTTCTATATGGCAGTGATACGGGATGTATGTATCTATCAGGACCAGTGACTGCAGATTTGGCGGAAGCATGTGGGGGAGCAAGATACCGTGCCACGGGCGTTTACCTATCAGAAGACCCGCGGGGACCTCCAAATGCAAGAGGTTGTGGAGAAACTGAAGTGGTCTCAAAGGTTTACCGGCAAATGGTGATAAGTAATACATATATAAAGGTATGTCCAAGTGCCTCCATATAAGATGGATGGTAAGCTCTTCCAGAGTGCCAGCAACCCTTCCGAGATCTGAAGTGAAGGCCGCAAAGTCGAGGGCAGAGAACGGATCGAAGCTCGTGCTGTCACGCTGAATACCGCAGTGAAGCACCTTGATGGCTGGTGTAAAGTCCAAAATACGCCCCACTGGATACGTCCCCAGGTTGCAGAACAGGAGACGAAGGGTCGTCAGGTACGGGTGCGTGGTTAGGAGATCGTGCACCATCACTCTCAGATGGTAATCATGTAATGTCAATTCTAGTGTTTCAATCCTCCGAGTACGAAGAATCGAGATATTTTCATCGATGCTGGGATCCGGTTTTTCCGCCATACGCCCATTTTCCCTTTCACAGAATGCCACATGCCGTAGGTGCCGGAAATGGCTGTGTTCTGGCATTGATGAGGTCATGCACCTGAACATCAGACCCAGAAAGCGGGACCGATATAAGAAATCCGGTGCCAGCTCCAATGATACAAGTAGGTCGAATTGAGCTAGCACCAGAGCCATCATGGCATCGATATTTCCTTCGAAGAGAGCGGCATCCCATGTGCTCTCCCAATCCCATTCATGAGCGAAAAATAGGTTCCTTTTCTTGATCTTTATGCCCATTTCGACAAGGTTGGGATCTACCTTTGCTTTAATACCCTTTCCCATGTTCTGCTTGAGTTTTATCCGGGAATGCAGAGCATGGTATCGCTCCGGGTGGAGTGTCCAACGGACCTTTCTAACATATCTAGACAGCCCTGGCCGCTCAAGCATCGTGCGTAGGAGCAACTCGATCCATGGAGTTTGTCGTTGTCCAGGGTATTCCATAGTCCTTATTCCTTCGGGGCGCTTGAGCACCTGGTCTATCTCGTGGTAGAGCGAGCGTTGAGCCGGCTCTCGAAAGTATGTGGAGACCGATGCAAGGGATAGACAGGATGGCTTATCGCACATCTCTGCGATCATGGACCGCAGCTCTGCGGGAAGGGAAGAAAAGTAGTCCATATGAAGATAGGATTGTATATAAGGTACGCAGATAGATATAATAATACCCGTGTTGGTTATACTATGCGTTCTTTATCAAATGGTAGATATATATATGTCTAAACGGCTAATAACCTGGATATCTTTTTGAAGCTGTGAATATATTTTGGAAAGTCCCTCGCACCTGCGAGGAAGGCCTTATATAGCACGCTATTTAGACTTGTAGGCGTTCCATGGTAGGTAATACTCGACACCACGGATCTCACGACAAGTATGCCGGAGCGATCCGAAGGTTGGAAAAGCAGCCTCTCCAGGTATCTCCAGGTATTTCCTAGGTATGATATTTCCCTTTTTGGCAAGTAGGACGGCGGAGCAGGCCATAGTCACAGTGAAGAGACTTGTCTATTAACGAATAAACTGAACCAGCCTCCGCACTCCATGAAGCGAACTCATGCTCTTCTTCCGCGACATCTCCACGAGTTTCTGTATTTTTCTGCGACCAAATTAATGAAGGAGCAGCTATAAACCGCGATGCGTCTTGCTTAGTCATCCTACTCATCCATAGATGGCTCTTCTTGGCGATTTAACGTTCTATTACTAAGCTCGACAGAATAAGCTTAGCCGACGAGCACGTGCCGATGTTAAATTCTCAGGTAGAAATGGATTAGATAATCACAAAAATATTACGTGATGTTAGTGACGTCAAGACAACCGTGTTCCGAGTAACAGTCAATCAAATAGTTGATCCTCGACTCCCGAAACGATAAAATAACCTCGAGAACCGTTATTCGAAGGCTTCTGCACTAACAATGCCGCTGATTTTGATCTGCCACATTTAATTTAAGTATTCAAGACATTTCCAGATATCTTACTCGTTATGCCTCTAATATCTGACTGGCGTTTGTTACGTCGTCATCGTAGCCATCGCGGTTATAGGCATAATATAGCCAACAGCCGAATCTACGGACTACCTTCAGAGTTACTCGATATTATATATCAATACCTGGAGAGCGAGGACGATGCTATTGCTCTAGGTTTCGCCGGCGCCCGATTCTTTTACTCTGATACCCTGAAATCCGTTTTGTCAAGCAAGGAAGCACGGTATAAAGGGCTATGTATGCTCGAGGACAGCGGTGAAATAGGCAGGCATTGCTGTAGTGGATGCCTAGTGATACACCCTTCCTCCGCAGCCTTCTCACTGCAAGAGCTGGAAAAACGGCCTACAGAACGTCACTGCCTGGTAACTAATCCGTGTCTGAAGCTTAGCCTTTTCCCCGACTTGAGTTTTGCCGATATTGAGATGGCATTACTGAAGCAGGCAAAGGAAAGGCGTCAACGCAACTGGTTTACACGGCTGTACTCTTCGCCCGAGGTCATGATAGAGGTCAGGCTTCGTTTATTTCCTAGAGAAGCCGTCATGGATTTCCTTGGATTTACTAAGCTATGTGAGCTGCTTGACAGGCCATTATGCACGCATTTGCGGGAGAGAGATATTGGGATCCCGATTTTGTATATGTCACAGACCGGTCCCAAGCCTAGAAAACCAACAAAACCTATACATGAACATAAGGACTGTTTTGACTGCAAAACGCGAGTGACTATGGAACTATTACCGGCTCATACTCACGGTAATAACGGCGAAGAATGGTACGCGCTCAATGTCACTCGATCACTCGGCAGGCTCTATTCCCCACTAGAGCCGACTTGGCTTAAGCAAACTTTTGGCTTTAAACACCCGAAGTTGGAGGACTATCTTAGAGTGACTGAGGACTGGTTTCGGGCCTATTGGGTGCCTAGTCCTAATCCCAGGCGCGACTCCCTTGTGCCACTCAGCGGCATAGATCATCTTGGATATTGGCCGCCATTTTTAGCGGGTGGTTATGTATTTAAGCCAGCCATTCTACCTACAAACCTATCTACCCGGATAGCAAGATTTGGTGTAAAAGTTTGGTTATTCGCAAGCGGGCTTGTCCCTGAGCGGATACATAGGGAGTACGGACAGCCCTATACATTAACGTTAACCCACCCCGAAGGGTTAACAGTATCTAAAGAGGCTTGGGAAATGAGTGGCTGAGTCAAAGTCTCTTGGTCTCCATTATTTTGCTCGCTACGGACTTATATTTGTCAAGTTTATTTAGAATCTACAATGGCGCATTCTCTTTTCTAATTCATGTGCATTTCGTGTCATCTACGTTATCTTAGCAATGTAACATAATAGTCAAAGTAGCGCTTCTCCAGATAGGTTGCCTAAGGATACTGCTCTCCATGGTTGTTGGCCCTTAGACCTGTCCTTCTACTTGCCCTTACCGACGTTGATAGTTATTCTTAAAGTTGACCTTATTCCAAAGAGCATTATTTTATCCATGTACTGGATAAAATATAAGCTCCCTTAAGGATCTTTGATAGGGAGCTCCAGGTTACCTGAAAAGGCAACCGCGTCACGTAGTTGTCACTTCCCTAGACGCGGTTATTTCCCTACGCGCTTTCCTAACCGAATATGGAAGGAGGGGTATAGTGGACAACGTCGTTATTTTCTTCAGTTTCAATGTCTTCTTGTTTGGAATCCAACATCCGGCGAATCCAACACTCCAGCATTCTAATATCTAACGGCAAGAGATTTTCTTTTTCTTTTTCGAAAAGATTTACTTACCTCCCGATGGCTGGAGTCCTAGTTTGGCAGGCCGCCTCCACCACCGGCCTTTGCATCTGTGCGGGCGTGGCCACAGGCATAGCCTGGTATACCTACCAGGGACAAAAAAAGCATTGGCGATTGGAGGAGAGGCGGCGGCAGGTGGAAGAAAGGGAGGGGTGGGCGGGAGACAGGGAAGGGAGGGTGGGGGTGAGAGAGTTGGCGGCGGATGAGAAAGAGAGGGCCTTAGGGGAGAGAGAGTGGGCTCTGGAGGAGAGGGAGAGGGCCTTGGAGAGGAAGAGGAGGGATTTTGAGGTGGAGGCCCAGGCGAGGGCAGCATGGGCTGAGAGTTGGGGATGTGAGGAGGGCGGCCGCTCTACCGGTGTTGGGGGCACCGGTACCTCGAGTGGACCCTCTTAAATCCTTGATTGGATCTCATCCGGTCAAGGTTGGTTAGGTCAGGGCAGGGCCTAACCACACCGGCGACGAGTTCACACTTTTACGCAGTGCCGGTGACGAGTAGCCGAAAGGTGAAACCAAGATGAACTCAACAAACTGACGATCTGAACATTACCACAAGCGCCCGACGCCACCAAGGTATATACGCACAGATCAGAGAACCCAGCGCATAAGCAATCCAATCATGCACTGAACACATCCTGCATTGATAGCCAGTATTGTCCAATAGATTGGCCATGGATCCGACTCTTCCATCTTCAAACCCCGAGAGAAATGAAGCCATGGAATCTCTCGATGATCCACGACACAGGCTATGTTTCTTCTGGTATCTTCCTCCATAAGCTCATAGCACTATCCTCATAGTGTCTTGATCGAGCATCATACCATTCCCTAGAAAGTCGACTGAATCAAAAGCCCAAAAGACTTCGATCTCATGGCTGCAGTGGTATTCCGCCAAGCCAAACAACGACGTTACCGTGAGACAAACCCCCATCCTGGCAAGAAGCAAGAAAGTCAGGCCAGGAGACAATATCACAGAGAGGTGAACCCTTTGGGCTACCCAACATTGAGCCCAAAATATACATATACTAGGCATAGATATATGCCTAAGAGCCGCCGAAGACAAATAGTGGTTCGACGAAGAGGAATAGATGCTGCCGCCCCAGGAACTATTCAATCGGCCTCCTATGAAAACTGCGCAACATCGAGTCATTGGAGTTGACAAGACGAAAATTGTATACGCGCGGTCAAACTTTAGCGCCTCAAGCGCGCGTCCGAAAAAACAATCTCAAAAACTGTGCTGACTCAGCAATACTTACCAATAGACGCGATCTTGGCACTTGAGGTTAAAAATACAACAGAAAATCAACCACACGAGAGGGTAAGTGTTGGTATACAACACATTGGGAATCAACACCCTGGAGTTCCTCACAAGATGCGCGCTGGTCCTCCAAACAGCCAGCAGCATACCCTCTCCTCCCTTACTCCTTGATGTCACAGCCACAACTTTCAAAGATTGAGGTCCTAGTGCACATATCCGCACCCGGAACCGTAAGAGATGACACGACTTACCGCTCCCATGCCTCAGCATGTCTTGCCTTTGAGCCCGTGACTCGAATCGGCGTTGTTCCAGAGGAATCTTATGAGGGGGGTATCGCTGTCAATATTCCACCACCCTCTTCGGCCAGACAGGAGGATGCAGACACCACGTTCGGATTCGGATCGTTCACGAGCTCTTGGCCTTCAAGTGCAGAGGCATATGGCCGCGGACACCAGACAAGCTCAGACTCAGGTGTGATTGAAGACGAAGTTGATGGATCCTCAGAGGCATGCACACCACCTAGTACTGTTCCTGATTCGCAGGCGGAGTCGGATCGAACTGATACGCCCACGCCTACGCCCACGCCCACTCCACCACTAACATGGGAAATCGAACGGAACCAAAGCCCAGACGCCTCGCCCATAAAACCAATTTACATCTCTCTTTCGTCATCTTGTGAGGAATCCTCTTTCCGTTCCCTAGATCCAGACGCGGATGCAAATACAGATGCAAATACGGATGCAGAAGCAGAAGAGGAGGAAGAAGAAACGCTCCGCCTACCGATGGAAATTCACCCACCTCATCCAAACCCCTCATCAACCGCACGCTTCGAAACACATCTCACACCCGCTCTTCGCATGCTAGCCTGCCATTCCAAGTTATGCAAACGGTACGCACCGGCCTATCAGTCCAGACGTCTGCGGCCGTGCGAGCGAGGATACTGGTTTCTACATATCCCTATCACCGGACCTGGATCTGCACCCGGCCACGAAGCATGGGGCATGCAGCGGTTCAGGCAGTTCTGGGGGTATTTACGTGAGTACGTTAGCCTGGGGAAGGCGGGGTGGGGAGTGTGGTGTTGTGCAGATCGTGCAGATGCAGATGGTGGATATGTTGATGTACGTGTTTGTACGTGGGGGGAGGTGGTAGGGGCGGTGTACCTTGTTTTATACCTGGCCAGTGATAGGGCGGTAGGGCGATTGGAGGGCGTAGAGTGGCGGGATGCGGGTGAGAAGGCCGTTATTAGGATGTAAGAAATGAGAATTGTATAATGGATTGGCTCTAGCTGATGTGACTTTTGTACGAACGAAGAACTGACTAGATGCTTCCTGCAAGAGAGAAAAGAGAGAGACCGTATGTACCATAGCCCACAGTGAAGAAAAAAAAAAGGCAAGTAAATGAAAGAAAAAGGGTTCAATAATTTAGTTCTCCGCCCGCGGCGCCACCGACGGCATCGAGATCCTCGTAGCTCTTCAGGCTTCTTCCCTGGACCGCCTCCTTTGGCCCCATGGCCTGCGCGCCGGTGCCGTCCCATCGGGCCCCACCACCAGCACCAGCACCAGCACCACCCCCACCCATGAGAGCGGCGGCAGGGTGACCGGCGGGGATAGACATCGAGACACGGCCAAACATGGACCGGCCAGGCGACACGCGGCCTGACGAGAGGGGGTAGCGAGCACCGCCCTGGCGACGGTCGTAGGGCCCCGAGCGATGCGCGTAGCGTCCTCCGCCGCGCCGGATGACGCCTGGGTGATGGAGGGCGGAGGGGTCGTTGGGGAGCATGTTGAGGACGGGCCCGGGCACGGGGATGCCGTTGAAGCCGTTGGAGCCTGGGTTGGCGATGAAGGGCATGTTGGTGTAGTTGAAGCCGCGCGGGGTGCCGGCGGGTATGTGGCCGGGCGGGAAGGGGAAGTGGCCGTTGCTGGCTGCGTCGGAGCGGGTGGGCGATATGTGTGCTGGGTCGAGGGCGTAGGCGTTTACCAGTGATAGCTAGAGAGTCAGTATACAACATAGAAGTAGGGTAGGATAGAAGTAGGGTAAGTAGAAGTAGGGTAAGTAGAAGTAGGGTAGGATAGAAGTAGGGTAGGGTAGGGGTACCTCGTGTTTTATCTCTGCGAACCATTCCTCGTGGCGCTTCTCGACGTGCTTGCGCCAGAAGTTGTGCGCTTTGAAGAGCTTGGTGCATTCGGGGACCTTGCAGCGGAACTTGGATTCGTCCTCCTGCTTGACGAAGCGGGCGAGTTCGTCTTCGACGGCCTCGTCGACGGGCTTGCCGCCTAGCTTCTTGAGGTCTACGTTTTCCGGCTCGAGGATCTGCATGAGCTTGTCTTCGAAGGTGCGCACCCAGTTGAAGGCGCGGTAGATCTGCTGTTCGCTCTTGGAGGCGAAGCGGGTGGGTTTCTTCTCTTCGACGGGGGAGGCGGGCGCCTCGCCCTCTTCCTCTTCATCGTCTGCGGCGGCGGCGGCGGCGGCTTCTTTCTTCTTGGAAGGGTAAGGGGCGCCTATCGCGCTGGCGCGGGCGGCTGATTTTGCGTGGCTGGAGAGGCCGGAGCGGGGGCGGCGGAGGTGGCCGCCTGGGCACTTGCGGACGAGCTCGTGGACGGAGTCGGACTCGAAGACGCAGTAGAGGCAGAAGTTGTGGACGCGGCGGAGGTACTCCACGGTCAGGTCGAGGGTTTTCTTCTTGGCGAGGAGGTCTTCGGTGTCGGCCTCGTCGGCGTCCTGTTCCTCGCCTTCTTCGGCGGCTTCTTCGGTCTTGGCCTGTCCGTCGTCGTCGAGGAGGATCATGTCGGCCTCGGGGTCGTCGTTGGGGTGGGGTCTGACCCTGACGGGCCCGGTGACGGGGGGCTGGAGCCAGCCTTTGCCGCGGAGGTCTTCCACGCGCTCGTCTATCCTGGTCATGCCGTCTGCGGCGTCCATGGCGGCGTCCAGCTTGGCGACGACGCGCCTGGCCAGCTCGAGGTCCCGCTCTACGCGTTCGGGGGCGGAGAAGAGGTCCCAGAGGGCCTTTTTGCGGGGGTTGGCGGGCGGGACGTGGACGCCGACGTGGCAGACGAAGTCACCCCTGACGGGATCCTGGATGGTCTTGCCGTTGACCGCATCCAGCGCTCGTTCGGCGGTGGAAGCAGCAGCAGCGGCAGGCTTGCTGCCGTCCATGTTGTCCATCTCGGACTCCTCTTCGCGGCCGTCACCGCGCTCGAGGGCGGCGGAGGACTGCGGGCTGGCGGGATGCAGCATGATCCAGCCGATGCGGTGGTACTTTTTGGACGGGTTGGGGTCGCTGAGGCTGAGCCACTTGAAGCCGCCGTCGGCGTCGCCGAGGTGCTCTCTGCTGAACTCCTCGATCTTCTCGCGACTGACGCGAGCGTCTGATGAGCAGGCGGGCTGGGTGATGGAGTCGTCCCTGAGGTCGCCGCCACGCGCGGGCACCAGGTCGAGCACGCCGAGGGTCTCCCCCACGGCGGTGACCTCGCCCTCCTCCTTCTCGACGATGCCTCCGGCGCCGTCGCTCTCGCTCTTGTAGATGCCTTCGAGGGTGAAGTCGTCAAAGACGCCGGCGGCCAGGTCACCGCACCAGCGCTCGTAGGCCGCGGACCGGAACTGGGCCAGCCGCCGCCGGAAGGGCTCCCTGATGTCGGCGACGTACTTTTCCCTGAACCACTCCTCGGACCGGTGCGTCTGCACGAACTGGCGGGCCAGCTTCATCTGGAGGTCGGCCTTGTAGGCATCGTACGCGGTCTGTATCTGGGCGCGCTCACGCTCCCTGTCCTCGCGCGCCTCCCGTTCGCCCTTGACCCGTCTGGTAGCAGCAGCGGCAGGGGTGCCGTGTTTCGCCCTGTCCTTTTCCTCCCGGACGGCGTTCTCTGTGCGCCACCACTCGGCGTAGTAGTTGAAGCCGACCTGGTAGTCGAGGGAGAGGGGGGCGGGGATGGGATTCGAGCGCAGGACGGGCTTGGTGGAGGCCGGGTCCTGCTGGCCGGGGATGTATCTGTCTATGTTGGCGGCGCCGGGGGAGGGGAGACGGCGACGCTGGTAGTAGTCCTCCTGGCGGTCCCGCCTGTCCCTGTCTCTCTCCCTGTCGGGCTGGTACCGGTCTATGCCGACGGGGCTCCTCGACCGCCTCCTCCTGCGGTCCGCTGGGACGGTCAGCACGGTAGTGTGGTAGTAGTAGAGTAGGAGGACTCACGGGAGCGACGGAAGTCGTGGTAGAAGGGGTCCTCCTCCGGCCATCTGGGCTCGGTCTTGGGGCCTGGCGGGGAGAAGGACTCGTAGTCCATGGAGCTAGCATCTCGTTAGAGCGGTAGAGTAGGGGGTACTACGGTGGGAGCAGAGGTAGAGGAGCAGAGGTAGCAGAGGTAGCAGAAGTAGAAGACTGAGACGGAGGAGGTAAAGAAGCTGAAGTAGAGAGGCATGACGAGGGAGAAGGGGAGTTACCAGGCAGCAGGAAGAGAGAAGTAAGCAGAGGGCGAGAAGCAGACTTGGTGCTTCGTCAGTGGTTGAAGCTGGAGATGTTGGAGATGTTGAAGATGTTGAAGGTGAAGCTGAGAAGTGAGAAGACGCTAACCGTAAGGGCATCTTAGTCATCTTAGTCATCCTACTCTTAGTCATCTTACACTTAGTCATAGTCACCATAGTCATAGCCACCTTAGTCATGTCTTACTAATATCATGTGATACCTTGAAATCCGACCTATCACAAACCATCTTTTGGGACATGAAGCGGCCAATGGGAATGAAGACGTGACGCTGCGCTAGACCCGAAAGAGCAAGAGTAAGAGAAGAGAGAGAAGAGAAGAAGTGGTGGTCTTACCAAGGCGTCTCCCTCTCCCTCTTGTCTCTTAGGCTGGGCTCCTCTTCTCCCTTACTAGCTACTGCCACTGCTGCTCTTCTCTCTCCCTGCTTACTTACTCCCTCCCCTACTGCTGCTGCTCTTCCTTACTCTCTTACTAGCGGGCTCTTCTGCTACTACTACAGCAACCTTAGTAAGCACTCACCGCTGCCCAACCACGTCGCCTTCCCTTTCGCCTCGTTTCCTGCTTCAGGCCCAACGCGGCGGTGAGTCGAGGCAGCGACAGACACTTCGCCGTCTCTCTTCCGTCTCTCTTCCGTCTCTCTTCTCTCTTACGGCCTGCGCTTCTACTTCTCTACTTCTCTTCCGTCACTTCGTCTGCTCGTCTTCGTCTGCTCTTCTACTGCCACCCTTACCTAAGCAACAGCCATTGGCGCCTTTAAGAAGCCCGCCTCGCCCTTTTTTCGCCTCTCTTCCTGACTCTCTCTTTCATTCGTCCTCGTCTTCTTCCAGGACTTGACTTGTTGACTGCCGTCTCACCATCTCCCGCCCAGTCGTGGTGCTCCAGGTAGGCTTCTCCCCTCCCAATCATCGCCCCCGGGTCGTCGCCGGCCGTCCTATCATCGCCCTTTTCTCTTCCTCCCTAACCTCCTCTCGTCCCGTGACCGTGCCCGACCCAGCTCGCCCGCAGCCTGCAGCGCCCCCTGTTCGCGTCGCGTTGTTTCCTCTTCTCTTCTACTCTTCTCTGTTACCTACTGTTACCTATTCTCTGTTACTCTTCTCTTCTACCTATTCTCTGTTACCTATTCTCTGTTACCTATTCTCTGTTACTTCTCTACTGTTACCTATTCTCTATTGTTACTTGTCATCCACTTGTCACTCGTGGGTCCGCTTGGTACGTGCTGCATGCACAAGCTCCCGCTGCCAACGCATCACCACCACATCTTTATCTATTATATATATATACTGACAGACACAGGATGGAGTACGCTCAGTACCAGCAGCACCAGGCCTCTCCCATCGTCCCCCCCCAGCCGCACCCTCACTACCAGGGACAGCCTCAGCCGCAGCAGCAACCACCACAGCAACCACCACCGCAGCAGCAGCCGCAGCAGCAGCAGGGCCAGATGAACTTCCCCCAGAGCTATGCCCCCTACGGCATATCCCCCACCCAGGCGGCCGCCATGGCCACCGCCGCGGCCACAGGACAGTTCTTCCCCCTGCACCAGGACTCGCCCCGTCTGCCCATCAAGAACGAGAGGCCGCCCCGGCAGTCCCCCCCGCAGCCCGCCCACGCCCAGCCCGCCGCCCAGAGACGCATGTCCCAGCAGCTCACCGGCAGCCCTCACTCCCTCCCCCGACAGGCCCCTCCCCAGCCTCAGCAGCAACCGCAGCAACCCCAGCCACCACCACAGCAACAACCACCACCACAGCAACCACAGCAACCACCACAGCAACAGCAGCAGCCGTCGCCGGAGCTGGCTCCTCCGGCGCCCCCCGCGGAAGAGTCTCCCCTCTACGTCAACGCAAAGCAGTTTCACCGCATCCTCAAGCGCCGTGTGGCCCGCCAGAAGCTCGAGGAGCAGCTCCGTCTCACCTCCAAGGGACGCAAGCCCTACCTCCACGAGTCTCGCCACAACCACGCCATGCGCAGACCCAGAGGGCCCGGCGGCCGCTTCCTGACCGCTGACGAGGTCGCCGCCATGGAGAAGGCCCAGGGCGGCTCTGCTGCTGCCTCCTCCTCGCCCGCCGTCACCAACGAGAACGTCTCCAAGGACGTCGTCGGCCAGAAGAGGAAGAGCATAGCAGAGATCTCCTCCCCGGGCTCAAAGAAGGCCAAGACCTCGCCGCTCCGGACCGCCAACGCCAACGCCGCGCCCCCAGCAGGGCCCCCCGCAGACGCCAGCGACGAGGCCGAGGCTGACGAGGACGGTTAGCCCGGCGTCTTCTGCCTCTCCTCTTCTCTATATATATAGTACTTATACCCTCTCGTCGCGTCTCGCCCTTCTAGCAGGTTACTCCTTTTTTTTCTTTTTCTTCCTCTCTTCTTTTCGTGCATGAGCGTGGCGGATGGATAGGACCGGTTTCTTTTCTTCTTTTCTTGTTTCTTTTGTTTTTTGTGTATCTCTTTTGTCACCTTTCCTTTGTTCTGCTGTACTTTTGACAAAAATTGATTAAAGAGTGTCCAGGGCGATCCTATGGTTTCTTTTCTTTGGCACCTGTCGATAAGTATATGATCGTATATATCTCCATCTCTACTCTGTGTATACGTATATGTATGTGTATGTGTGTATGTATACTATGTATGTAGGTATGTGTGTGTGTGTGCTGACTAATGTGGCTGGGAGTGGCTCGTGCTTTACTTCACCTCGACTTCATCCATGCATTTTCATCAACATATACACACTTCTAGAGCTTCACTAGATAAACAGAGACAAGGAGATAGATGGCAGCGTCCTCTCCCTCTCCCCGTCTGCTCCGTCTCTCCGCTCCCGTCTGCCGCCACACCCCCCCCGTCCACCGCCGCGTCTCCCAGCACTCCTCCTACTCCTTCTCGCCCGGCGGGGGTCCGCTGCCTTCTCAACGCCATCATGGAGGGCGGAGGAGGAAACATCAAGGTCGTCGTCCGTGTCCGGCCCTTCAACAGCAGGGGTACGCCAATCCACCTCCAAATACCCCCTTAATCCGTGCTAACACCCCCTAGAACGCGACCGGAATGCAAAATGCATAGTCCAGATGAAAGGCGCCCAGACGGTGCTCACACCACCCCCCGGCGCAGAAGAAAAGTCCCGCAAGGGCGGCAAGTCGTCGTCCTCCACCTCCGCCGCCCCAGAGGGCCCGCGAGTCTTCGCCTTCGACAAGTCATACTGGTCCTTCGACCGCAAGGCCCCCAACTACGCCGGCCAGGACGACCTCTTCTCCGACCTCGGCGCCCCCCTGCTCGACAATGCCTTCCAGGGCTACAACAACTGCATCTTCGCATACGGCCAGACCGGCTCCGGCAAGTCGTACTCCATGATGGGATACGGCGAAGAGGCTGGCGTCATCCCCAAGATATGCAAGGAGATGTTCCAGCGTATAGCCGCCATGCAGGCCGCCGACAAGAACCTAACCGCCACAGTCGAAGTCTCCTATCTGGAGATATACAACGAGCGCGTGCGAGACCTGCTCAACCCGGCTAACAAGGGGAATCTGAAGGTCAGAGAGCACCCTTCGACGGGCCCGTATGTCGAGGATCTCGCGAAGCTGGTCGTGCAGCGGTTTCCGGAGATAGAGCACCTCATGGACGAAGGGAATAAGGCCAGGACGGTCGCGGCGACGAATATGAACGAGACCTCCAGCAGATCGCATGCCGTCTTTACCCTGACCCTGACGCAGAAACGGCACGATGCCGAGACCACCATGGACACGGAGAAGGTGTCGCGTATCAGCCTCGTTGATCTCGCGGGCTCAGAGCGCGCAACGTCCACGGGGGCCACGGGGGCTCGGCTCAAGGAAGGCGCGGAGATTAACAGGTCGCTTTCGACCCTGGGAAGAGTCATTGCCGCCCTGGCGGATTTGTCCTCGGGCAAGAAGAAGGCCGTTGTTCCCTACCGTGACTCGGTTCTGACCTGGTTGCTCAAGGATTCGCTGGGCGGGAACTCGATGACCGCTATGATTGCGGCGATTTCGCCCGCGGACATCAACTATGACGAGACCCTGAGTACGCTGCGGTATGCCAACAGCGCCAAACGCATCAAGAACCATGCCGTTGTCAACGAGGATCCGAACGCGCGGATGATAAGAGAGCTCAAGGAGGAGCTCGCGCAGCTTAGAAGTAAGCTTGGCGGAGGCTCGGGCGCGGCTGCGGGAGGGGGCGTGGGTGCAGGCATGCCGCAGGAGGAATACCCGCCCGGAACTCCGCTGGAGGAACAGATGGTTACCATCGTGCAGCCGGACGGATCTGTCAAGAAAGTGAGCAAAGCCGAGATCGTCGAACAGCTCGACCAGAGCGAGAAGCTGTACAAAGACCTCAACCAGACGTGGGAAGAGAAGCTGCAGAAGACGGAGGAGATCCACAAGGAGAGAGAGGCCGCCCTCGAAGAGCTCGGGATCAGTATCGAAAAGGGCTTCGTGGGGCTAAGCACGCCCAAGAAGATGCCGCATCTGGTCAATCTCAGTGACGACCCGCTGCTGGCGGAGTGTTTGGTATATAACATCAAGCCCGGCACCACCACCGTGGGGAATGTCGATGCCGCTCATTCTACTTGCGAGATACGTCTGAACGGGTCCAAGATTCTGCATGAACACTGCACGTTCGAGCATGTCGATAACATCGTTACCGTGATACCGTGCGAGGGCGCCGCGGTCATGGTCAACGGCGTACGCATCGATAGCCCGCAGAGACTCAGGAGCGGCTTCAGGATCATACTGGGGGACTTTCACATCTTTCGCTTCAACCATCCCATGGAAGCGCGGGCGGAGCGTGTCGAGCAGAGCCTGCTCCGGCATTCCGTCACCACAAGCCAGCTTGGCTCGAGCACGCCTGTGCGGTCGGGTCCGGGGCACGATCGAAACATAAGCAAGACCGGCTCCGAGATAGACGGTGACTCGAGCCGGTCTGGCTCTCCGCTGTCTTCACAGCGAGGCGGCAGCGGTCGAGAAGATTGGTTTTATGCCCGCAGAGAAGCAGCGAATGCGATACTAGGTACCGATCACAAGATATCTGCGTTGACGGACGACGAGCTAGATGCGCTGTTCGACGACGTGCAGAAGGCTCGTGCGGTGCGGAAGGGGTTTTACGAGAACAGATTCCTGGATATGGAGGAGGATTCGGACTCGTTGAGCTCATACCCTATCAGAGAAAAGTACATGTCCAACGGCACCATTGACAATTCTCCC